CTTGATTAGTGAACACTGTGCTTTGTAATCTTATAGACACACTTTTTTCTCCACCACCCACCTAACAGTAAATTATGTCAAGATACTACTTTATCAAAACTGAAAATAACTGATGTCAAATCTTGATTCAGATGGTCAGCAGAAAATGTAAATCCTAAGCATTTTCTCTGAGTTTAGCCCATGACAGCATTAGAAAGAACCAGAGATGATACAAGAGTCTCCAGAAGTTTTGATGAGCAGTGCTCCACTTCACACTATTGTTTTGTTGAAATTTTGTACACTGGAGTATACAAAGTCTTCATCATAAACCATTATTTTCTCTTTTTGTCAGCAATTGTAAAATCACAGAATCACAGAGTTGGAAGGGACCCATCAAGCTCAACTCTTAAGTGAATGGCCTTGTTGYATACAGAATTATATAGACAGTGGGACAATGAAGTGTAATATAGACAGCAAATAACATTAAACACACATCTGACCATTGACAGGTTTGATCCATTGATCCAAGRTGGATCCAAATGTTTAACCCTGCAYGCCCTCAGTTTACAGAAGTTGTAATATACTTTAAAATATCCATTGTGCATAAGGTTCTGAAATGCCAACATTTCTTATGTAAGAAGCACCTAGATTCAGCAAAATTAACATCTTCATGCATATGCTGCATGTATGCCTCAAGCATTTCTCATTAGTCTCAAGAATTCTTCGATACTCAAATCTAGAAGCTTTAGGTGTTCCCAGATTTCTCCCAGATTCTCATGTTAGTTTTTAAACCATAGGAATTTCCTCATTTATTGTTACGTGATTTTGGCTCATACAATCTAGACCTTCATGAGTTCTGTTACAAAACTCATTTGTTTCTTAATTCTTCAGTAGTCAGAAACKAAATACCAGCAATGTTAATGCAAGAGTGGGTTCCACTGTCTCTGAAATCAATGAAAGTAGTGAGCTCTCTGCATGTATTCAAAGATGATTTAAAGAAGCCCACAGATGCAGAATATTCAGATAAGACTACAGAAAAACTATGTAGGTAGCAGCACAGCACTGAAGAGTAATTGTGCTTGCATCAGGAAAGAACAGAGAAGCAGGTCAATAACAATTCTAGCCAAGACTGAAGTGCAAGGTACAGAACCATAGTCCATCCCTCACAAATCATAAGCACAAATTGCAGACAGCAGGCAGACACCAGGAAACAGAAGCGGGGAGATGGAATGGCTGGTGTAGGGACAGCACTGAAATGTAAATAGCATTGCTGAACTACAAGTGAGTTTGAATTATACTGGATTCATTCCTGACTATAAACTCCGGCGGAAGGTGACTCCAAGTGACTCAAATGGCCAGCAACAAAAATACATGTAGAAGAGCCTATACACTGTAGATTCTAGATACCAATGCCAAGAGAAAGAGCCAGAGTCTAGCAAGCAATGTGTACTACAGTTACAGTACCTAATACATTCTTAAGTCAGATTACCCAAACACTGTAAAGTTTTTCTGCAGAGCTGGTGCGTGATGCTCCCAAGAGTAATCCTTGCTCTTGCTTTGTGCAGCTTTCTTCACAGAGGCAGCAATAGTGTAACTGGGAGTGCCATTACAACATTTTATAGTGAATTATTATTTTAAACTTATYATCACAGAATATCCTGACTTGGAAGGGACCCACCAAGATCAYTGAGTCCAGCTTATTGCYCTGCAGGGATGATCCCCAAGAGTCACACAATGTGCCTGTTGTTATGTTTAAATCTATGCATTTATCCTTAGTGGATGAACGTCTGAGACACTGAGTGACCTGTTTTGCTTAAATACCAGGTCTGATAGAGTATGTAAGACATTAGTAATAAGTTTGGAAGGTGAACTTTCCGAAATCACCAAAGTGCCTTCTCATTACATCTTACCACAGACAACATTTTACCCCGCTATAGTACAGAAAATTAAAAGCTGCAGAAGTAAAATGAGATGGTATTTCACATTAAAAATATGTTATACAAATTCCCAATTATGCTGTACACAATAGCAGTGCTGGGTTAGATGTATCTACAGTTCTTTATTWGCAGCTTCTTTTTTCTTCCAACTAATGAGTTCCCTTAGTATTCAAATGCCACACACTTACAAAGGTAAATCACTTGAATGCACTGAGATTTTTTTCTATTTATTGTTGCTAGGGAACCACATTAGTATTCATACACGTAAGAATACATATTCTTTTGACATATGTTTCTGAGGACAAGGTGCAAAGCAGCTCTGCAATATATGGTGAAAAAATGTACTGCAACGTTCTTGGAAATATTCTCCCACAGAAGAGCAGTGTTATTGTAGTACCTTAGCTTCAGATTGCTTTGGATTTCTTACTTGTTTAGATAGATTGGAATTGTAAAATTACATGCCGTAATGTCATTAATAGTCCTCAGGTTTGCCCAGATTAAAACAGAAAGAACACCAGTCTGTGAAATAAGTGTTGCTAAAATAGCATCCTGCTCACTTTTTTAAATACCCTTTTACTTCTGTAAGGTAAATGTTCTGTAAGAAATCTTGACATTGTTATGTAACTAAAAAATACCCAATGCAAGTAGGGAGAAAGTGGAAGCATGAGCCATTTCTGAACAGGCAGGTATCTGAAGGTTATTTGCATTATGTCAGTCACTTGCTGATGTAGCTGGTATCAGTCATGCAAACGCTGCATTTAATGAAAGGCAATAAGCCTCTTTAACTCTCAGAAAGTATTTATTTCTTGAGACAGCAGCTTCTGGTAGGACAAAAAAAGATGATGTAGAAATATTGAAGAGGTATTATTCTGTCCAGAGTCRTGTCTGACTATGGGAAATAATGCCATTTTAATTTGCTGTTGATTTTGATTACTGCCAACGTATCTGTGTGACAGGGACATTGGAGGTTGAAGGCAGCAAAGTTTGAAAACATGCAAAAAGCATGAAAATTAAACATGGAAGGGCAATATCTCACTTAAGTCCTGTGTGCACATACGTATTTCTTCGATGCTGGAAGATCCTGCTACCTGGATTTGCTCCAATACTGATTGATCTAACATTATAGAGCGCACTTATTTACTTATTGATCCAAAYAGGAGGTGTTCCCTGTCTTAAAGGAGATTACAACTTGAGACCAAACCAACAAGATAAAGCAGAGAGCTAGAGAACCTAAATCTAACAATACTTGCTGCGCCCCCCTGGCTATCTCTGCATTAAGTACTCTGAAAAAMCGCAATCTTATTGTTGTACAGTTGCAGAGGGCTCTCCAACTGGTTTAAGCTTCTTCTGTTGTGCAATACTACACAAAGAAAGCAGTTGCATTTACAACATGGAAACAACAAAGACATGAAAAGAAAGGAGAATTCCAGTTTTTGAAAGACACAGAAGGAACAKTTTTCACAGCAAACTGTAATAGAGGCTTCAATAGCCAGGTGCAAAGGATATTCCTTGACACCTGAAAAACAGACAGAGGCTCATTATCTACTTTAGGTATTTGCCAGTATTACAAGTAATCCCTGAGAACATGTTGTTCTGATTTGACAAGTGCTTCAGTATGCAGTTGCGTCCTACATTACAATGTGACCCATACACATTTGGTCACCAGATTTAAGGCAAAAGTGAAGGGACAGGAAATATTTTAACTATTGTTTTTTCAGTGTTGGGCATGAAGAATACTTGTTTTTTTTCCAGCTCTAATCTCTGAAGGTTATCTTGCTTTAATAAAAAAAAGAATCCAACCATGAGGAATAATCCCAGTGTAATTGTTTCCAATCAAAATTATTAAAAAATTTAGTACTAATGAGTCAAAGGTATCCTATAATGGGAAATGTATTAGACATTGCAGTAGAAGAGGCAGGGTAAGTCACAAGGCTGAACTCACAGCAGCTGGGACTCTTTTCAGTGTGGTTTTGCAGGGAACTACTGCCCATCTGAGAAGACACGCAAAAAGGGGCTTCAGACACTGTGCCTTACCAAAAGGAGACAATAATCCACCCAGCAATACAGATCTCACTGACTGCAGTGAGTAATCTCACTCAAACAAAAACAAACTCAACACAAATTGTCACACAGAGCCAGCCTCCTCTGATTATGTGCACTTCCTTATATCCTGTGGCTGATAATTACGAGCTGTGGACCTCCACACATTGGGTCAGGTCATTCCTGTGGGTTTCTCTGCAAACAGCATAATTTCATTTTTATCTATGCCTGACTATTAAGTCAGACAAGCTCCATTCATCACTGCCCCCACCTCAGAGAAAAGAAAGTGAAAAGCAAAACTGCAGAATCTGGGTTAGATGAAATTTAGATTGAAATCATATCAAGATCACCACAAAACTGAAGTCTCCTCTGGCAGCTATGCACAAAACATGAACCGATCTCATGAGATTCTGAACTAAAGAGCAACATTTGTTGGATACTGTAGGAAAAGATCCTGATTTTAAAGGAAAAATGTAATTTCCTTGTGAAATGCTATGAGCTGTACAAGTTTCCTATTGCAGGGGGGATGAAAGTATTCATTAAAAATTTCAGGCCACTACTGAAAAAGGAAAGATGCTGTTATACAAAGGTCAAGATCAAAAGAAGACTGTTCCACCGAATCCCTCAAAGGTCAAAAGAAAAGAAAAATTTAACACATAAATATTACATTCATCAAACTCAAGTAATAGCTATTCCAGAAACAGACTTGACAGAAAAGATCAAGCATTTTTCCCAGAAGTATTTTCTCAAYTCTGCATTTTAACTTTAGCAGTTTGCAGCAGCAATGCTGTTAATACCTGGAATAAACTTAAGCACTACTTTAAGTTAAGTGCTATAGTTATGCATAAAATAATCCAAATTACTATTACAAAATACATGACTGTAAGTAACAAATTAAAACACATACCAGGTTTATTCTCTATGCAAAGTACTTTGCATGCATAAGGTTTTAACATTTAAATAACTGCCTGGCTATTGCATGGAATTCAATAATATCATTTTGGATTACTGGGGCAGAGAGAAAAAATTTCATGAACACACAGATTGACAGTAGACTTTTATTAACATATCTTACAATGCCAATTACTGTATTTCTAGTTTTGTATTCTTCTGATGTGTTATAAAGATTGATTTAGAGTCTACAGTAATGTACTGTACTTAAATGATCATTCATACAGGATATCACACCAGAACACTTGAGTAATACACACACACACCACTCTAGTTTGGACCTGTTATTTTTCAAGGTTAGCTTAATAAAGTAGGATTTAAAAAGTTATGGGGGAAATAAAAATTCTTGTTTAGCAGCATGCAAGGATATTCAAGTACAATTTTTTAACCAAGTAATTTTTTGTTGTTTTTAAATCAACTGGCGACTAATTCACCAGTACTATAATACACACTATGAAATACCCAAATGTTAAAGTTAAGGCTAATAGTTTTACTTCACATCCATATGCACAATCAGAGAACATTCTGTTTTAAATAAAATACAGTAATCAAATTCTGGAGACATTATCTCTTGTATATATAGCATTGGAGCTTCAAACTACAGATCACTCAAATTCATGAGCCCTGTAACAATKTTATGCTGGCAATGTAAAGATTCTTTTTGCTCTTTAACCACACTTACAAAATGGCCTGATATTCTTAATGAGCAATGCAAAAATATCACAGGCAGAACTTATAATACAGTATCAAAAAAGTAATATTTTGGAAAAGACACAGCCATTTAGTCAGTGAAACAGAGTAATTCTAATCTTACAGGAAGTACTGTAACACCTTTGAAATATATATATATTTATATGTATAAAAACCAGTATACTTTATTGTAGGGTTTTTCGAATTGCAGGTATCCAGAAAAACTCGTATTTACTTACTTTTCCTTCAGTCTGTTCTTGATTGCTATACAGTCATTTTATTTCCCCTATACACTTTTCACTAGATAATGATTTCCACTGGGGAATTGGTTTCTTTGTATATGTAGTTTTATCATAAGATATTTTTATTTTACACATATAAATTTTATTTTACACTCAAGCTATGAAAATCAAAACTACCAGGAACTGCTTGGTAGAACTGTAGGAAATAGCCAACAAATGTCCAACGCTTGTGAAAAACAATAGTAGCAATATATTACATACCAATATTTTGACTACAATCTTTCCTATATACTTACACTATGGGTTTTAGCCCAGTTATGCCTGTTCTCATGAATTTTTTAGTCCTCTAAGCATAAACTGTTTTGGCATTCATCCAGTGCAGCTGCACATGCATTAGTAGTTCATCTAGGCTACCTCTGTTGAATTTTCTTTTTTTTGTTTTTCCTTTTTAGGAAACCAAGGAGAAAGAAGAGTGATTACTTTAAACAAATACAATATTGAGGAACCTCTTGAAATGATAGTAAAGATACAAAATTATGTTTTGTTTTTAGAATAGCCTGCACACTCCCAATTCAATCATTCTGAAACATACATCTGGTTTGGAATGATGGCAGGCTTAGGGTTGTTATGCTTGTAACTGGGATCTGCTATGTTGGGCACCATACAAATTCTCTATATACAACAATTTCTGCATGTTATCACTACCAATTTATTCAATTGATATGAAAAAAAGAAAAGCTCCTTCCTGGGAAAAAAATGAAGACAGAATGTGTGTCCTGGATTACATGAAGAGCGGTAAGATACCCTAATTTACAGATATTTCACTAATTTCTGCAGAAAAAAAAAGTTCCTGAGAATGCGTAAGTTTTCAGTAATGCCTGAAATATTTCAATAGACCTTTTATACGTGAAATACTCTTTAAAATTCAACTTTCAGACCAATTATTAACCATGCAGTCTCACAATTGTTTTACAGACCTGTCTAATTACAAATGCCTACCAAGTAAACCTCAAGCCAACACAAAAAAGGCAATGAAATTTTATCCAATGTACTGAGCAGGTGTAGTTGACATATACACTGTTTCAGCAAAAACTGCTAAAAACTCAACTCCATGCAAAGAAAAATAAAAACCAGACGGCTATCCCTGGAGCCTCTTAACAACTCCAAGTAAAATTTGTGCTTCTTAACAATAATGGGCTTAAAAAAAAAAMCACAAGAAAAATAGACTACAGAGTGCATTCAGATTGCTCACACCATTTTGAGGATTTAATTTCAATTATTGTATCATTCTTTAGTAGCAACAACAGCTCATTTTGCACAGATTTCACATGTTGACAAAGTTCCATTTCCCTTTTATGCCCGTACCCGATTTCACCTCGAGCCAAGGAGTTACACTCCCATTCAATTAAAGCTATTGTCAGTCAGGATGCATTCATTCATGATAACAGCAGTTATATGGTGTGAGGATGATGATGGTGATGATGATGGTGATTGCTGATGATGGTGATGATKATGGTGATGATTTACAAGCCATTATAATGTGGCCCCCATCTTTTATTGATATGATCAAAAGTATGGGACACCCATTGTTGTTCAAGCACTTTGTATCTTTCCTTGCATATGTATAGGGGTTTACCACGCCTGTGGAGGAAAAAAAAAAAGAACAGGAAGAAAATAAATGGTTAATATGCGAAATAAATGAAAGATGCTTCACTATATAATCAACACATGATACTCRCACAACTTTTTTTGCAGGGTATACATGCATTTTTATTCATGAGGGGTTTTCAGTTTTGCTTTTGGTAGGGTAATGTTGGACTTCCCTTCCTCACACTGCATAGCAGAATCCAGAAACACTCACTTGTTTTCTCAGTCATGTGTAGCTTGGAAGTTACACTCCTTCCCTACACTGGAATACAACTGCATTGTTTGATTAAAGACCAAACAACAACACTGGGAGATAAGTGCTCCCAATGCAACACTCAGCATTGACTGTCACTGGGAATGGKAACATAGGAATCTGTCTGTTGGGTGCTGGGTGTTGCTCAATGATCACCCTTRAGCCAAAAAAACCCTCAAAAACCCAAGAGAATAAAAGTCAGTTCAAGTTGCAATAMATTGGGATTTTCCCATTTTCCACACAAGGAAGGTGGAAATCTACTATTATCTGTTACAGCATGTTATAGACAAAGTTAATCTACACAGAGGCACCAACAATGAAACACACTTGTAATGAGAATTTACCTAAGATCTCTGTCTTCTTCACCATGTGCATCGAGATAAACAGAACCCCAAAGGCAGAAACGATGGCCTCGTATGATGATAATTACAGATGCATTAATCAAAAGGAATATTCCTGTTCCAGCTCCACAGTTTTGAGAATGCTGTAATGTTACAGGTGTAGGAAGTCAAGAGTGCAAAGATTCTGTTAGTGTCTGTCAACTTTGTAACAGAAGAAATTTTTAAAATAGTACATGTTTTGCTTCACATAACATGCACACATTATTTACTAAGAAGCAGTTTGCTAAAGGATAGCCCGCCCCAAAATTCTCCATCGGAACCAGAATTCAGTGTCTTGTGCTGCCAGAACACCTGTATATAAAAACAGGTTTTTTTCCCTACTCAATATGTTATCATGTAAAAACTGAATTAGAAAAAATAAGCAAAAATATTCTGTACAATATTTTGAATTTTTTGTTGTATAGCAAACTTCATAGGATTACCAAATATTTTCCCGAGATGGCAAGAACAGGAAAAAGTATTCAGAAAAACTTAATATTACCTCTTTTACAATAGTCTGTATTGTTAAATATTTGCTTTCTCTATCCATACTCACAGATCTAGTCTATGGCTCTACAAATCTAGTAAAAAAATCTTCTATTAATTCTTGCTTTGTTCAATAWGCCATTCATTTCTATGAATAGCTTGATCTAAGTTCATCAATTCATTTTAGCAATTAAAAAATGCACTCTTCCTATATGATTTGATTACAATTAAAAGCTATAATCCTATYGACTACCACAAAAATTATAGATATTTAATTCCTTTTATAACATTCTGTTCTTAGGAAGCATGACACTTTAAATGTAACTAAATTCTACTGTAAATTTTGCCCACTCCTTCTTCCACCATATTAGCATGAGAGAGAAAGGCAAGTTCAAACAATTTCAAAACAGTCCATAATCTCTGAAATTTTAYGCCCTATTTGTAAATATCTCTCTAACAAATTCCTCTCACAGTTATGTGAAGTCCATATGGTTGCAGTCTTCCCCTAACTGTTCAATGGAAGTAAAGAGAACAGCTATCAAAGCAAACCTTTATCATAGTCTGAAAAACCATACTGTCTGTTGTCAGGCTCCTGAAAGATCTTATATATATGCTGACTAGAAAACTTTGCTGCTGAAAAAGTTAAAAGACCCTAAAACAGCACTTATGTAGTTATAGTGTCTAGATCGCCAATACATGGTCAGGAATCAGCAAATACTCAACCACAAATTCTATGTGCTCGGAAAGCAAGGACACAAAACAGAGGAAAACTAGAACAATATATCAACAACCTGAATGTGAACAAATTTCAACTGGCTATGAATCAAAACCATGTGTCAATGTTACACAGTGGCTTTGTAAGACCTTTACAAAAAGGTGAATAGGTTGCTGTGCAAGTAAATTGCCCTCCAGAATCCAGTCTAGGTCATCCCTCAGAAATAAACACTAAACTTTATCACTGGAAGTTAGAGTAGATGGTCCTTCAGGGTCCCTTCCAACCCAAACCATTCTATGATTATATAAACATATTTTGAAAAGAAAACCATCAAAACTAAGCAATGGAGCTAACAACTATTAATGAATGTGAGAATCAATTAAAGAATTTGAATTAACACTCTCTTACCAGTACACATTCACAGTAACTCTGTTGTTTACAGCACAGTCCTTTCAAGCATACAAAAGTACCACAAACTAAGCAAACAGCAGGATCTTTAGGAACCTTGGTACACACAGAACAAGTTTTTCTGTGATAATACTGAAAAATGGTATTATAATTCTCAGGCAACTGAAGGAGGCGTGGCAAGTCCCATTTAGGTTCCTGGATAAGCAAAGCCTGCAAATAAGGGAAGAATATATTATCAGTTCTGTGCATTCATTTAAGCATTTGTATTTTCTAAAAAAAGAGAATACCAAATAAAAGAAACATTCAGTTTAAGAATCTAATTTMTTTTGCATTTCACAAACTTAGGTCCAACATTTCCTTCACCTGCTCCTGGCTGATCACCCCCAASTGCAATCACATTTCATCCTTTTTAACAGGTACAAAATGGGCGCTAACCTTTTCCCAAGAAAGTTTTCTAAATGTGACATATTTTAAGTGCAAAAGCCTTCATAGCTAAAACAAGAGGATTAGGAGTCATCTACAAGAATGAATCTCATTCCCTACACTAAGGTAGTTTGGCAATACCCATGTGCTGCTCCCAAACCCTGGCACTGACTATGAAAGCTGTCTCCTAGCTAAAATTTAGACTCAAACTTTCAAAAACAGAACTGAATTTAGGCTCTGTAAATGGTATTTGAAGACATCTGTATGTTTTCCAAAACTGTGTTGGACACAAGCCATTAAGAAGTTACTAGAACTCACAACTTCTGATAAGACAGGTACTACCTGTCTTGAATACTGCTTTGAAAAGCCTAACTCTTCTCATTTGCTCTTAAAAATACTGTCCAGTTTTATTTGGGGGATTTTTTGGTTGCTTGGTTTTTTACAGGGGATTTTTTTAAACAGTAATGTATTTTCCATTAATGTATTTTTTTATGTGTTTATAATGGAAGGGCATAGTGGTCAGATGGGATCTTTTCTGCAAGGTCCAAAATATTTTTTTAACAGTGCATGACCTTGAAACCTGAATTGCAAAAAAGAAAAAAAAAGAAAAAAAAAAAATAAATAAATACTGCATTTGTCCCTGGTTACTTTCCAATAATGGGAAGAATGCTATCAGTTTCATTGTAATCTATAATTTCAATCAGATTGGCAGCAACTGTATCTTGACATTAATCTGAGTATTCAAATTTTCACAGGAATGGATCGTGTTGCAGAGTGAGAAATGTATCTGGCTTTCCCCACACCACAGATTAAGGAGAGGGGAACTTGAATTGTTGAGATACAACTCTGTCATAGAAACAATGTACTCATGTTGTAACATTTCCATTTCACAACTGATTACTTCAGTTACACTAACTCAAGTCTTGGTATTATTTCTCTAACCTTAAGAGAAAATATATTATCTTTTATCAGTAGCTATTGAACAGCTTTTATCCTTTTCATCTTCTTCAGTATTGCAACTGAAGATGCTCAAAAATAYCAGTAATGTAAAACAGGCAAGAAGTTGTTATGATATGTATTTTCTTAAAGTTTCTATTGCATGCCCTTTCTTTATTGGGTACAGGTGAAGAAGATATGGGCACATTTAGTATCATGTAAGGATAGTGTTTCTATATGCTGTTTCCTGCAATCATAAAAACCAGACAGGTCTTAATCCTGTTTTTAGCCAATTCAACCTACATCCACTAACTAATATTTCTCATTACAATTTCTCTCTCACTTACAGGTTATATTCTCAGGTCCTTATCCAAAACCSTATATGTGCATAATGAATCAAGCAATAAATAGCTGCTTCCATATCATGATTATTTTCGAAAAAATATTTTTGCTACATACCTTTACTTGATCTGGATGTCTATCCGCAAATGAAGCCAGTTCTGAGCACCACTGTGATATCATGTCAAATGCTGGCACTGGCCAATCAAGACAAGAGGCACTGGTGAACTGATGAGCTGACTGAAAAGATGGTAATAGACCCAGGCAGCTTGCAAGAACGGTGAATTCTTCATCTTCCTTTTTAGGCATGAAATCAGAGAGATTTAGTTTAATACYTAGACTTTTAAATAGTTTATTAAAAATATATCTATTTCAATAAAAAAGTATTCCAGTACTATGATCCAAACAGTTATGCTTAGAGACACAAAAAGGTTTAATTTTTCCAGATCACTTCAAACTGGACTCTTGAAACAAAAAAAAAAATTGTCAGATAAACTAAACCAAAACAAACAACCACAACAACAGCCAAAGTCAGAAAAAAGAAAGAAAAGCTAAACAAACAAATGAAAAACCTCAACCCAAACCAAACCCCACAAACAAAATAAAACCCCTCCACAAAAAAGCAGCAAACCAAACAAGAAAGGCCTGAACTCCACTGTTAGTTTAGCACCCTAAACTAGCTAGTAACTGTTTTACATAGGACATGATGTTGAGGCAAGAAAAAGAGGGAGCTGACCTGCAGTAAACTCTACTGACATTAGTCAYGGAACTTAAACATAATTGTCTGCTGATGCAACATCTCTGAGAATGAAGTCTGAATATTAAGAGACCTTAAGAAAATCAGTACTGGATTCCATTCAGTGGATGGTGGAATTACACCATCTCTGCAAATGCTGGAGAAGTTTTAGAAGTATGTTGGTATTTTCCGAGACAAGGACCTATGACCTAATTAGATAAGCATCAATTTGCTGAAGTTTAAGAATACAATTTTTTTTAAAACTGCAGTGCTATAAAATGTGATGTAAAAAAACCCCTTCGGATAGAAAATACATACCATGAAAAAGACACCTTAAAAGCCTAATTTTTCTTCTCTAGCTTTTATATGGAAACATTTAAGTGTGCCCCTCTCATTCTGTACCTGACAACTAGGTAAATCCCCTCCAAAAAGATGGTGTTGAAGAAGGCTTGTGATCCTGAGGAAAGGCAGGCAGAACTGCTGCAGATAGCACTCTACAGAATCTGGATTTACCTGGAGGGGAAGAAGCAATTACTAAATTCTGTTCCAGGTAAGTTACCTCCAAGGTATAAAACTCCAATATGAACCAATGAACCAATATGAACCAAATATTTTTTAAGCATATTATGTAAACAACTGCACGAAACATACAATGGTCATGCATGTTCACTAATGGTGAACAAAGGTCAGCAGTTCACTAATAATCTGAAAGACCTCTGTAAGTTTTCTTTCCCCCTTGACAAATTGGTTTTCTACTTAAATATTCACTTTTCCAAGTTTCTAAAAGGTGTTTCTTACATTTTATTACAACCCATACATATGACTAAAACCCGCAATTATAAAGAGTATTTGTCAATAACTTTCTCACTATGACCACATCGACATTATTAAAACAAAGGTTTGAACAGGGAAACTGTCCCAAAGGGATATGCTTTGATCTAGAAAATAGAGCTGTACTGCAAGTCTTTAACAAGATSAGAGAAAAAATATTATAACAAGGAAAAAAAACTTCAAGGGGACGTGATGGATAAATTCTCCAGAAATTTGCCAATACCACTGCTAATTCTTCAGTTTCTCCTTCTTCATATATCTTCCCCTTAGACAGTTCACTAATCACGTGACCCAGCAATACTTCCCAAGATTTTTCTCCACTGGATGTATTCTGCAAATGAGAAGAAAAGAAATCCAAAAAGCCCTGGTCATGAAAAGGAGTAAATGTTTCTGTTAATACCAATGGCATGAAGTGTATTTCCTTTTAATCAAATTTTGACCTACAAAGATAAAAATTAAATTTAAAAAAAAACCTAAAACCATACATATTTTATAGAAAGCTCAAGCATGCATTCAGGTCAAAAGTGAAATGTGAATGCTACTTGAATTACATATTCTCTGAGTGGTATATGAAAACACTTCTATAATGTTTGCATTTCACATGTCTGTGAGTAAATAAATGCTTACTTTAAAGCTAGAAAGAATCACTTCACGGATAAATCTTGTTTTGACAGAATTTGAATTCTAATACAAGGGTTTTTTTAAAAGTAATTTTCTAAAACATACCAATCAGAATGAATGACAAAACACTTGCTATGTATTTTAAGTTAAAATCAATCTATCAGAAAATACAAAGTTGTGTTTGGAATGAACAATGTCTATTACAGATGGAAAAATATTTAGTGTAAGGTATAAATAGCCACTTAGCTTTGTGCCACAGCAATTACATTTAATGGTAACAATTACAAAAAGCCTCAAGRGATAGAAGAAAATATTTGAGAATACTGCTTTCTAAGTCAGAATAAATTTTACCCAGGAAGAAGATGACTGGGTATGAATTTTAGTTCTGTTAGTATATTGTCAATACAACAGACAAGGGAATGGAAGGGAAGGAATTTGGTTCCTCTTTAAAGGAACCAAATACTTCAGGACATAATGATGTATATAATTAATCAGCTGGTTTCTTTAGTGCATTCTGACATCAACTTTCATTCTCCCATTTTAGATGGAGTCTTCACCTCTTAGTATTGAGACAGCACACTTGCTGTTTATGCTCATAGTCAAACAACCAGAAGGCAGCACACACTCTAAATAGCAGTAATGGCAAACCTTCTTTCTATGTTATTYCTCAAGTTTACTCCACAGGCATTTACAGTGTGTTTTTTATGACACTGTTACATACCTTGCCAAGATAATGACAGTGAATTTGGGTTTCAACAGTACAATATCCACCTCTCAGCCCTGCTGAGAAATTAAACTCTTCATATTGTTTGATCATTTGACATAAATATAGAGCGAAGTCTTCAGCCCATATCTAATGTCTGGAATACCAAACTGAAATAGATTCATTTGGCATTRTCCACAGACAAAAGTTAATTAAGGTACAATCTGTGTAGTCAGCCCAGGRTTAGAATGTCAGTCCTACCAGCAGGGAAGAAAAAGCCAACCTGAACCATACGTTTTTAACCATTGGGGCTTAAAGAAACTTTAAAGAAAGAACTTGGGTTTCTAAATTAAAAACCAGCTTCCCTCATGACCCATGCATGAGGACTGTGCATAGGCTCAAGAAGAGAAAGGCAGCCAAAGGGCTCGGAGAGGGGAACAGGGAGTGTGCAGTTACCACTGGCTTGTCCTCAGGGCTTTAAATTGCAAAATTATGTATTACTTGAGAATCACTTAAGTAAACAATGAAAAAAACCCAGCATCAGCAACAACCTCAAGCAAATGTCTTTGTATTTCTAAGAAAATGATAATGTATTGAAAGAAGGGGTGGAGAGGGAGCTAACAAAATGAAGTACTGTCCAGTGATCTCAATGCAAAAAAAATTCTCATAGCCAGCAGACAATTTGTCCTTGAGACCTTGGAATTTTGACAGACCAGTATGACAAATTTAAGTTATATGTGAAAAGGCAGGTTATGCTTCTCAGTGTGCATTTCATTTTACATCAAAGGCCCAGCTGTTGTATAAAGGGGTAATATTCCACCCATTTCTTCTACTTGTCCCAAYACTTCTATTCTTTCCTTTGGTCTGACATTGTCACTCTTGTGAYCTTCTGGGAAAATCAATCTGTGGAATTAACTGAAGAGTTAAATAAATGCTGTTGCTAGTGCAGGGACTTTGTCTTCGGTAGCAACTGGCATTCAATCAGCTGAACTGAAACAGAAAGATGCATCACCATTTTACTTGTAAATAATACCAAAGGCAAGGAAACAATAGTGACAAATTTCCTTCTCTGTCTCTTCATCACGTGACCACTCTGGACTACACAGTGAGAGAAATTTATATAGCTAGCCACAAATAGCTCAAGCAAGTTGGAAATGTCAAGAGGGTTTTTTCTCCAACAAGGTTGCTTGCTTTTCCTGTAAAGAAATGCATCAGATCAATGCCCATGGTTTACCTAGGAAGGCTTCAATTTCACAGGAAGGAAAGCTGCATTTACTGATTACAGTCACTGCAACAAGGCAGAGACTGAAACTATACAGACTCAAATCTGAAACTCAGTTTTGGAACTAGATATTAATTATGAAACTTCGAAGTATCATCATATACCAAAACCTGCAGAAATTGGACACACAGTAACAATATACCGGATTTCTGTGAAACAGAAAAAAATTATTACATGCAAAGCAGAAGTATCTGTTACATTCCTACCAGAAATACATAAACAAAATTTCATAAATGTCTTAATAGACTAACCAACCTTTTTGAGAGCTCCTGACTCTTTCCATGCCATCCTATCTTCAGCACTGCATTTAACAGAAAGAGCTGCCAAGGCTTGAGTATACAATAAAGTGAACAGCACTTTTATAATGCAGGTAAAGTGTTCTGTAAAACAAGAAGAGTAATTTTGAAACACCTGATATTGTTAGCAAATATAATGATTACAGGGTCTCTGTGGAAATGGTGATTCTGAAATAAAAAGCAAGTGCTATACAAAACATACAAAACAACTTATATTTACTGGCTTTCACAAATCATTTTGGCAGCCACAGTGAACAGAACAAGTACAGGACAAGTACTTTTCCACTGCCCCTTATGCTCATCTTAATCCTTAAGCAGTGACTTCATCCTAGAGACCTGGTGATAACATGAAATGATATTTTGTACAAAGGTTACATCAAGTTAAGCTACTAATTACTGCAGATGTAAGCAAATGCATATCCTACCATCTCTTCTGGCTCYCATCAGGGTGACATTCATACAAATATTGGAAGAATTAAATTCCCCAAAAAGTCACCACAAGACCATCTAGCACACTTCACTTTCTAACCCTTCTCTTCCAGATGTGGATCCAGCCATAGAAGACTTGCTACAAAACACTCTTGGGTGAGTACCTATTTACTCGACCTCATGTGCATACAGAAGGAAGACAAAAGGCAAACTGGCATTTACTGTATTTTCAAAGAATCTTCACATTATTTTGCAATATTTATTTTTTCCTACAGCTAGGCTGCAGGAGAAAGGTTTTGAAATATTTTGGGGAAAATTAGCAACAGAACAAAATAAGACTTCCTAAAATGGAAACAGAAAAAAAGTGATCATCCTCTGAAATGAAGATATTGACGCAGTCCTTTTTAATCTTTTTACTTTATGTTCTATTTCCAATCCCAAGTTATCTAGTTTGTTATTAAATCTAGGCACATCAAAGAAGTTTCTATCATCAAGTACACCACTCCTTAAGCACAAACATAGCTGTAATATATATCTAAAAAAATGTAGACAAAAAAGAGGCATTTAAGAAGTCCTCTCAGTTTTTGAAGTCAAGCAAAACAATTTTATTTACATAAGCACCTCACAAAATCTGGGTTAAATTCACTCTTTCTTCCCAAAGGATTTAAACAAACTTTATATGTGAAAACGAAGAGGGAAGGAAAMTGGAACACCTTGCTTCTCCTTTCCTGTATCTAAACCCACTACTGCATTCCAAAACACACATAGCTAAGACTTGAGTACATAATTAAATTCGCGAAATAACATTTTTTTTTGTTTATGTAAAGTGTCTACAAATGAATGCAGACATGGATGCTGAAACATTTTAATGTCACTGAGTATAAGCTTATGTGAGTATACTATAAGCACAATTTAAGAATCTAAAAGATCATTTATTATTACATAATTAAAAATAGACTTTTCTGTATTGTCTTCCTATGGAGCTTGAGTTAAACATGACAAAAGGTCTTATACTTCATGCCCCCATTCTAGTGCAGGCAACATTATAATGATACTGCCAGCTCACGCTTCCCCCGGAGGAGAATTCACCAGATCCTACTAGATCTCCAGGCTGTTTATCTCTGCTGAAACCTCCATTTTCTTAGCAATCCTACTCCTGAGGAGTAACAACAGGTAAGCTTTCAGGAAATTTTCTGGGACTAAAATCTACAAGAATAAACCACACACACTCAGAGAACTGTAAAAACTGCCTCTTTGGCTTGAGTTACAGTCTCTAATCATAGCTAGAACTGAACTCAATACTGAGTTCTAAGCCCTCAATTGAAGATACAAGCAATACAAATCAATTTTACACTGTGAAAGCATGAACGAAACCCACTGCATGTGGAGCAGCAAAACCAGACTGCGGGTCAACAGGCCCCAACCTGTCACAGCCTGCTCCATCTCATAGTTCTGCTCAGGCAATTGCAGTGCTCAACACTGGGTCTCCTTGTGACATTTTAAAAAACGCTGCTTTTTACTAAATTAATTACTCCTTGTCCCTATTCCCCCCCTTAATACTAATTGTATTTAGGAACAGATACTAATTGTATCTGGGAACTGACACCAGAAATATGTCTAGCCCACATTATGCTTTTATGACTAAATGTTCCTGTATTTACTTACATGTATGTGACTCATAAATGACTATGAATTACATTTCTGGAGAATCCAGAACTGGACAAAAACACTCCAATATCTGGGTCAACCTTAAGAAGTTCTGAACTCTGCACAAGCTTAATCTTTTTTTTTCCCCCTTAGGAAAATATCTCAGGAGCAGCTCAGAGGGAGCATTTGTATAATGAACACCAAGGCTTTTTTATAGTCACAGAAATATCCCATGGGAGACATACTAAAACATCAGTCACTGCATCAATTATCATTTCATTACCATGTTATCTCTTAAAATGCCAAATATTTGACAGCTGTAGGTACCTGTAATAGTAGAGCTGTTACATCCTTGTCTACTGCAAAGAGCAACTTGATGTGATTTCTGTGATTTCCCGCAGTGTGGGCATGGGGGGCTGTGCACTGCTTTCCTGCTGCCCGCCGGTGCAGGCYGTGGTTTTGCTGTATCATCTTTTATGTTTAGTAATTCTAAAGGTTGCAAGTACGTCTGTATKTGAAGTAAACTACTGAGCAAAGCTCTGCACTAAAATGCATTCAGGACTCCTGTCCCTAATCTGATAGTCTGACAGTCTGAGATACTATTACTATGTCTACGCCATAACCAAAATCAAAACAGGTTAATCCTGCATGTTGGTACTTATTCTTGAATAATATTGAGAAATGCTCTTATATTCCTATTTTTAAAACTTTCTGGAATCAAATAATTTCTAAGTATCTCATCCCATTATATGCATCAACCAACAYCCTTAAAAATCATGTTTAAATAGGAAACACTTCTGCTACTCTAATTTTAACATTAGTGCAAGAAATGTGCAGATAAATGAGCACATAAGCATCAAGATGCATCTTTTAATTTCAATATCAAACTAGATGATATACCCTGACATGCAGTCATTTCAGAAGGAATCCACAAAGAGTATCAGATGCAAAATTAAGGACATAGGACATTTTTACTAAATTYAGAAGATCTTTGTATAAAGAACCTTTGAAAAATACTTTTCTTGATCTAAAGCTTGAACCCTTCTATGAAAAAACAACTTAGAACAAAGGGAGACAGCACTGAACTTCACACAATCCGTGAAAGGTATATTAAAGTTCCAGAAACATATAAATATTTTAGCTTCCACAAGTTGATTACATCCATACTATATTWAGTCAAGATCCTTATCCAATCTTTAAAGAGAAGTTTTAGTGTTCACCTGAAAGCTGCTTGCTGCACTTTTGTTGCATATCACTGAAACTTTATAGAAAAAGAATCTGTCAGAACACCCAGATCAGAAAACTTTTCCCAGAGTCCATAGAGAATGGTCTATACTCCCAAAATGAGCTTTCCAGTTGGAACACCCCCACCCTTCTTAAATGCCAGATCTCTCCCAGCAGCCCTGCAGATTGCCAGAGCAATGCTGGGCTGTGAAACAAGAGCGGGTGGCAAGCGCTGCTTGGCCCTCCTGGCACGTGTGRCACCAAGCACCAGCACCAGGCCACTGCTGGCCCACTGCGCACCAATTCCATGCACCTACTCGCCTCAGGCTCACTCTTGTTCACCCAGACACTGGGTTTTAAATGCTCTGTATCAGTATGATATATTTTTACATTCAATACAATGCAGAAACTGAAATTACTAGAAGCTACACTGTATCTCTAGAAATCTCTACAGAGGGGTCCCGAGTCAGGTCCTGGGAAAATAAAACTTTTGACAATTGATGGTAACAAAGAAGAATGTTCAATTTCAATTAAATTACTTTTTCAACATCCACAAACTTGCAGAAAGGACTGGTGGGGATTACTGAATTCGATTTACAAAGGTTAAGTTTTGGTAACCACCAAACCACTCTCTCCATTTCTGTACATACACCATCATTTGCTACTTCTGTAAGAAAGGAGCTGGAAGCAAAATCTTTGTTTTGTATGGAGTCCCAATTCACAACACCATGAACACTCCATCCTCTGCACAACAACTTCCACAGAACTATATCAGAAACTCCTAGGTGGATTATTATGTATTTAACCCTGCACAATTTCAAACTGCTGAACATCTGAATTTCTAAAAGCTCTGCCCATGTGTGAAACTCAAAAGAAAAAAGTTTAAACACAGTGTTTATTTTGCTTGCTACACTACACAGAGGTACACAGTATCAGCCTAACTCCCTTCTCTGTAGATTGGTTAATGCTTGTAAATGCTCTGACCTCCACCACGAAGTTTTTTCTCTATCAGTCTTCTTTYTTTCTGATAGGTTCAGATCAATTTTCTCCTCTGAATGAAGAGGCTGAACAGTAATGACATTTTTATTGCTTTAATCAATGTCAGATTGAAAAAGATACCAACACCCATCCAACAGTTAATAGGGTGCCTAATGCAATTCCCAGTCTGAATTTAAAATTAAACAGTTAATAGAGAAGTTAATACAATCCCCATTTGAAGGGCAAGAGAAGAGGATTTGAGTTCCTTCTTACAGAACACTCTGTGTTTTTAAAAAAACATGGTATAAACAAAAAGGATTTTAAGTACAAACTTGCAACAAGATGGCATATTTTATGAAGGACACAATGCAACTTAAGCCTAAAGTTAAAGGAATATACTGGAAATATCTGTCAACACACAGGCATCAACCTCCCGTGKGTACAGCAGTGTACAGCCAAGCCCACAGCTCCTGCACCCCATGACAACGCCACAGCAGCACAGACACTTCAGGAAGCAGTAAGGTGAAACATAGATTTTGTCCACCTTTATCACTGACCTTGTACTTCCCATGAGACATTTCACAAGCCATTTTACCTTAGTTATACCTCGACCCTCTACAAAGAATTAATAATATTGAATTCGACTCTGTGAATGCACACCCACTGTAAAAGTTCTAAACAAATTTGTTACGACTTACTTTTGTGAACACCTTTCTACACCTCCAAACAAAGAACTATGAAAGACTTTCTTTTCATTCTGCCTAACCTTTTTGATGAAACAAAAATTAGGAAGATAAATGGCAATTTCTTCCCAATKTAATGCTTCACAGATTTGAAGTGGTTATATTTATTTTCTTTCTGCCACTTGCTATTTCCCTGTCATATGCAACATACAGTAAACCTAAGAGCAAAGACAAAACACGCTGATGCTATGTGGCATTTCACAGAGTTTTCCACAGAATGCCTTACTACTAAATGAATGTTGTCTTTTCTAGGATAAAATACACTTTCTCAAATGGTGTTATTCAATGCTTGGATATTGACTACAAAGACACTACTGTTTTATACTTTGGCTTCAACACTTACTTCCCTGAATTTCAGATGTTAGTCTCATTAAACTTTTATTTACTGATTTTTATACTAGTTTGTTTGAGTCCTTCCAATGGAGTTAGTCAAAATGTATTAAAAAAATAAAGTACACTTTTGACAATAGTCTTCCTATTCAAAATTATTTTATTCTTTTAATATTTTCAATTCTAATAATCTTTTGGATATACTTAATCCATAAGCATGTACTTAACAATTGGATTGATGATCTTAAAGGTCTTTTCCTTGCTAAATGATTCTACRATTTTATGTATATTGAATTGAAAAACCTACATAACKAATACACATAGAGTCACTTCAGCTGAATTTGAACATTCAGTAGTGAGRACTGAACACCGCTTAAGAGGAAACAGTTTCTACTAAGATGTATGTATCAAAAGCAGAACAGTTCCTGAATTTACCTATTCAAAAACTACCAAAACTCTAGTAGATATCAAAACTTCCACACATATCCCTTGGGACATATTCTGTTCACTGCCAGTGAGGTAATAAAGTCATACTTGCTTTGTTTGTCCTTGCTTTATTTATTTTCAAAATTTGTTTTCAAGCACTGTTATAAATAATCAAGCTGGAGACCAGAGGGTCTGAATACCTATTCTGGAGCATACACTATCTATTACCAAAACGAACCAAGTTCAGCTGYTCCTTTTCCACAGAAATATAGGTTCTGTGCAAATAAGACAGTTTTGATCTTAGTAATGAAAGATATAGTTTTTAATATCTATTTAATATTTATTCATAATTGTACTATACRCTGTCTCTACTGAAGTTGCTTCATTATAACAATTATTATCTTCATATATGAACTCTTACATTAGACTGCAGCAATTTAAACTCTGAAATTAAATTACTATTTTTCAAATCTTACACCCTTAGGCCTCAGTTCAACTTGAAGTATTGAGCTGTCCCTCTAAGCAAAAGATGAAGGTCAAACAAAGGACACTTTTCTTTCAGTAGAAATACTTAATAGTTTCTGCTCAGCTCATGAATCTTTACTGAATAGCTGACTGATAAGGTAAAAAGACAGGGAACACAGATAAACCTGTCAACCCAGAACAAAAATTTCTGTTCAATGCCACCTTTTGTAGATAAGGCAGAAACATTATTTTAGAATACACAGCAGATCAGCTATGATTTACCATCTTGGGAATCATCAYGAAAGCAGCCTCATCTACATAATCATTTAAATACACATATTTTTGTAACATACCTCTGTGCAATGGTTGAGGCATGGTTAAAATCTGGATAAGCAAAAGGGATGAGACATCTCTGTAAAGCACAGGAACTTCTGGCAGCTCTTCACTTACCAGCCTGGAAATAAAACCAAAAGAAAATCACTTCTGATACTATAAACCCATTTTCATATTTTATTTTAAATAGTATTACATTTAATATCAAGCTTACAGAAGCTTAATATCTGACAATTTGCTAACTGATGTCAATTTTAAAACTGATCTCAACTTAAAAATGTCATGTTATGTAATAACTCACGAGGAAATTACCATTTGGGTACGGATTCTTGAAGTGTTTTAAAACTTTTCAATACTGCCTGAACTCATTTTGTCTATGTAGATAGTCAAGGAATATTCAGACAACTGAATTGGTTTCCAAAGCATGGCATTTCACCAGTACATRTATATCCATGCTGTAACAACGAATCCTCAAATTACATTTAATGTTACAGGGAGTGCTCCTATTGGAAACAGAGACCTTAGAAAAGGTATTGCTTTTCTTCATGTAAAGAAATGAAGGCCCAAGCAGCCATAACAGGTGGGATTATGCAGTCTTACACACAGTGTTTATTAACTCCCCAAGATGTCTAGAAGGACAAATGAACAAGCACTGCAAACTATTCAACAATCCAGATTTAGTGATGTAACATCATCTTGTAGTCCAATACTTAAAAGAAGTAAATGCTTGCAAATAGGAGATAGTATTTTTCTAGCTTTGTGYAGCAATAGTCAACAAAATCCCAACCAACAGTATTCTTCACGTTCAACAGCGGAGTCAAATGGCAAAAAAACCAAATGGTGAAAAATCATTCTCCCCTCTTTTACCTGCTATGGAGCGTGATGGAGATCTCAAGCAGGAGCAGCTTGAGGTAAGACATGATATGCACCCTGCACTGTCACCCTTCCCCTTCTGCAACACATGCAGAAGCAAAGTGCTCTTTGGGTTCTCACTCCTCTTGCCAAGCAGTGGTGGTGCTGCTTATCTGTACTGCAGGAGCCACACTGTGAACTCCTGGTCTCACTGACCCGGGATCTCCCATGCAAAACAGAGTCCTCTACAAACGGAACCAGCGGTGCAAGGAACAAACTGAGCTCTTGCAGACCATGTACTGGGAAAGGCTGCCCACATGTGGTGGGATGTGGATGCATGCATGCCATTTTTAGGGTCCTTTAACAAGTTTGGGGATACAACCAGTTTATCATCACTGAGGCCCAGAAATGTGATCCTGCTTTTGGAAGGAGACTACACAGTTACTGATTTCCTGAAAACTCAGACATCCCTCTACAGAAGGCATTGTCAGGACTCATCTGTGATTTGAATTTTAACACACAGAAGCAGTCATACAAGAGGAGGATTAAAAGAACACTTATGGTCACATGGCTGACCAGTCATGTAAAATGAAGTGATAGAAAACATGGTCTAACTGGTCCCTTTGAATTAATGAACCCAGACAGCTACAGAATAAACACTATCTATAACCCTTTTGCTATAATCAATCAGTTAATAAAATTGTTTCAAAGCACTGTAATATACATAAATATACATATTTACATATGTGAGCCTCCTAAACAAAAAAAAAATATTGTAAAAATCAGTGTCTTTAATTCTAAAGAAAACAAAGGGCAAAAATTTGAAACACGCTACCAAGGTTCATTTTCAAAATTATATAGGCCATGAAGATACTCATCTCACTATGCCTCTCCAATTCTACTTTTACCTACAGCTAGGTCTCCTTCATGATCTATGACACTGAATTTTAAATAACCCTCATTGTGTACTGAGTTTAAAACCATTCCTTAAGTTACTTCTCATCTTTAATTCTTATTTATAAACTTGGGAAAAAATGAATTTGGACTAACATTAAAAAAACCTTACTCCCTCTGGTCACATTTAGCTGAACACCTCTTTCCAACAGAGGGATCAATATTGTCTAATAGTCATATAATGATTAGGTCAAATACCAGTTCTGTCAAAATCAGTAAATATACACACAGAATACCATGACTGACTGGCAACATCACACATAAATGAGCACATCTGCACATGCAGGTCCAACTGAATTATTTTTCTAATTTATTCAGCTTGTGAGAATTGAGAAGCAAAGCTACATTAACTGTCAGGGGTTTAGATAAGCTGCTTTTGCTTACATCAAGTGCTGCAGCACATGAAGCACTTAAAAACTGCTCTGTCATTTGTTAAGAGCCTCAGCAACTTCTTCATTATGACACTGAAACTGAATTTACAAAATGTGTTTAGAAATGTGTTTTATGGAAATTGTCCATTCTGTTAATCCCCAATGCATATGTGAAAGCTTGATAAATCTGACTACAAAAACTTGTGCCGCAGAAGCAGTTAATAAAAAGAAAGCAAGTACAACTGGAAATGGGACCAAAGTAATATACAATTATTCAAATGTACAATAGCTGTATGCTGTATCCATTTTAAAAAGAGAGGTAGAGGTGAAAATAAACTACACAGTGCAATATGAACACCTACTAAAATGGAAAATGTAAAGCTCAGCTTTCTCTATGGAACTGACCTCTCCTCCAGCCMACAGAAACTGGCCTGCACCTTTCTCTCTGCCAACACCAGGGCTGCCTATCACCTGACAGCTGAGAAACTTKGCCTCTGTATTCTGCATCCTCCTCCTGAGAAATGTTATGCAGGAATCACTTTTTTGGGAATGGATATAGAGAAATGGGAATATCTGTTGTATACTTTGCTTATCGCAGCGCCTTTTATTTATACTCCCCATTCCCTCTTCTCTTAACCAGACACAAGTTTTTGGTTGATGCTAACTCCAACTACTTATAAAGRCAAAAATTCAGTAAGTGAAAGTTTTGAGCCTCACACCTCTTTGAACTGTCAGACACAGAAAATTTGAGACATTTGGGTACACCTAAATAAGACTTCATTGACTAGAGCAAGCTCATATTTTCTTCAGAATATGCAGMATTAAAAGGAAAGCCCACAAATCCCAGCTGGCAGAAAGATCAAACTAATGCACAGCTTCTAATGTTCACTGCAAGAAAGCAGAATGCTACTATTTATTCTGGCCACACCTTATGATATAATCACAATTTCTTATTTGCTCTTCATTGTGTCACAGCAGATTTTACACCATGTCAGCTCCTCATTATGCATTCACTGACAGTACTAACACTGGGCATCTCCTGTTCTCTTTCACCACTGTGCCCCCAGCAGTCCCTTGTCACTGGTTCCCAAACTCATTCAATTTAACCTTTTCAAAATATGGATTCATTGTTTGACTTTGTTCATGCAGCCTGCCCAAGCTACATCAGCACAGCTGAAGAAGATGGTGAGCTACAGTGAGGGCAAGGAGGAAACAGCCAAGAGCAAATACTCCCAAAGCTGGCACTACTGTCAAAACCTATGTACTGGAACATATGTACTGTCCTGAGAGACAGCTGTTTCAGRCAGGATTTTGTTTGTCTGGAATAGCTCACATAAGTCGTGTTGCAGCACGTGTGTTTATAGACTACCCTTTGCATAAACCTTAACTAAACCCCACCACCCCACCATCCTACTCTCTCTGTCTCAAAGTATCTTCAGAAGAACTGTGGGTTTTTTCCCTATTTCACAACAGTTTCTGTGATGGAGATGTGACTTAAGAGGTTCCTACACACAGCTGCTCAATCCTGTCCCTGAGTTGCAGTTTGCTGCCCCATTATGACACGATAAGCATCTGAAGCTATCTAGCTTAGAATGAAACATCAGCAAAACACTGCAGTAAAAATAACCCAGCATTTCATTTTATCATGCAGYTTCTCCCTCCAAGAGCTTATTAGATCCTTAATGTTTGACCAATTAATTCTTTGCTGACATATTGTCTGTCAAAWCAGTCACAAAAATTTCAGCCTTCGTAGAGATTCAAATTTAAAAGAATGTATATCCTTTCATTTCAGGGTTGTTGTTCCTCAAACTGTGGCTATTTGAACTARTACATTAAATTCACATCTGGGTTTAGCAATTATTGCCTCCAGCTGCTTCTTGCCCCCTGCCAGAAGCTATTATTCCCCTTTTGCACTGCTATAATTGTTTATTTGATCACCATCGAAACCAGATSTGTCCCTAGAAGAACAATTTGCTTAAATACAGCCTGTGGGACCAAGCGTACATTGAATTTTGCAACATAAAACTGCACAGGAGAAACAATCCACTAAACTATTAACAATAGGGTATCTTCTTGCTCAAGATTTCATTATTTCTACTTTTACCTTGCTGTGGCTGCGTGAGTTTCTTCCTATMTTTCCCTTCAGTTGCCATTTTCAGCTACAAGGAGATCTAAACACCATTGTAGAAGACACTGGACAAAACCAGTGGTTTTGAGAAGTTCAGTGAAGCAATTCTGTGAGACTCTTTACAAGTCCCTCCCAGACATATGAAATCTAAGGCGTGATTTATGAAGAAACTGAGTTGTGGAAATCTAAGATAAAAATTCTGGGTTCTACATTTGGGTAGTTTTACTTGTAAACATTTATGTGTATTTAAATAAAATAATTAAATGAGGGTGAGAAGATAATGTAATGGYACTTGCATGGCACAGATTTTTGCATGTGTGGGGGTTTTTTTTCTCTCTGTTTTGAAAATTGTCCTTTCAAACAAATGAAGGTTAAACTAGTTTCTCTGGGAAACTGTTTTCAACTGAAATAATAATTTAAAGCAAAAGTTACATAGAAAAAGATGGCATGTTGGTTTGAAGTTATTTTGCTGCTATGACTTCTTTGAAGTTAAATTGTTTGGAATCACAGTAATACGGTCAGACAGTATACATCTTTTCCTCTCTGACTTTTTTTTTCCTAGAAGCCTTTGCCTGAAGTCTCATGTGCAGGTCAGGCTGATGATTTAGATGACTTGGTTAACTTTGAAGTGGCAGAATGCCATTCACATCTAAAATCTGTAGTGATTATTTCTCCACCATCCTCTTAAGCTTCTTCAGTTTTCAGCAGTACATCACCTTCTAATTGCTCTGAGCACTCTTTCCTATACCTGAAAAAATTTGCTATTCTGTACTACTCAAAAGGCCGTGTGACTCTAGGTAAAGTGTGCAATCAGATCAYACCAATCCTATGAATGCCATCTTCAAGCGAAACTACCACTTCAAATTTCTGCAATATGATTACAGATACTCATTTTATGCTCTAATTTATACATTAAAACATGCCCTCAAATTGCCACCTTTGTAGCATTCAGGTGCCTGCAGGCCAAGGTAGGAAGAACATTCCAAGGAATGGGAAAAAATATTCCAGCTTGACAGCATCTGTGCATCTCAACAGTAAATTACTTCATGGCAAAAGGAATGCTATCTCAGTTGTAGCTTCCTACAAACCATTTAGGACTTTGTGCCAAACCAATACCATCAAGTCTACCAAGACRTATTGAAAACCAGTGCAAAAAACAGGAGAACTGCTCAAATGCATTGCCAGCATTCAACACCTCCTGCAAGGCAAGCTGTTACAGTCTACAGTACCAATTATTTCTAACTGATCCAGAATACTGCCTAATGAAATCTAACTTGCTGCACTTCAGCCTTGACATGACCAATGTATGGTGAATTCCATCAGGTCTGTAAGCCCCCTCTTGTTAACAGCTGCTTGCAAAGCCAGCAAGCTCCTCAWATGCCAAAAGCACAGTCGGTGCCTCAGCCATTCTGGCCACATGATCTTAATTTTGCCTCATACAACTCAGCCAACCATACACCAGATTTATTAACATTGTCCACTGCTCGATCTAGGTCAGATCTCAATCAGAATCACATGAAAACCCCCAAAGCAGTTTGAATGCGTGCTGGAYATAATAGGTTTTCAAATTATAAAATGCTTGATGCTTTGTTCTGCTAATGGTTTATCAACTGATCTGTTAATATTGTTTAATTACTCTAATAATCTAATGCTCATTGCAAAAAGAAGCCAGAGTCTGAGAAGACAATAAAATCTTAAACTAGAAACGAGAACAATTGGTTTAATACTTTTCCCCAGTTTGCAATTAGGACTGTGGCATCGYTACTGTAGATCACTGTTTGAAATTGCATGACACTTTCTACCTCAGGCTCCTAGAAACACTRGCAAACACACAGCTGGATAGGCACTAAAAGGACAGTCTTTGGACGTAATTGCAAGCTACAAAGTGTAGAACTTAGTATAAGGAAGATGCTTAAGATACTAAGAGGAAAAATATSGACTCTTACAAGTTTTACTCTTACAAGGAAAAATCATAATCTGCTTTTAGGCAAAAAGCCTTTCTTATCATCAAGGTAGAATCTGAAAAGTCATKGGTCTTAAGTCAAGTAAGGAGATRGGCCCTTGCACAATAAAGTACATGGTTCAATTTATTATATTGTTAATCCTTACGAAGCTGTGTAGGGAAGGTTAATGTTTCAAAAYCAAACTCAGGAAAGTAACTTGCTTAAAATAATAAGCTTGATGAAAATTTTTGGCTTAAAATATAATTACTTCTCACATTAGACCTATTTACAGTTATTGATCATTACTCAACTTTCAATAAACTATTTATCAACCTATTTCAATGTAAATTTTGTTGAGCATCCATTTCAAGAACAGGAGTGCCTTATTCACTTATCCAGTACTATTCAGTTTGCATGTGCTTAAGCCTGCGAGAGGTGTATTTAAATTTTAGCTCAAAACTGGTATTTGAYAAGTTTTTATGCAAAAGAAATGGAAACATTTATTTTTACTAATTCAACATCTAAACATCTGTATGTATAAGTCCATCAGCATACCTCACAGAGAATTTAAATTAAGACAGAAAGGTACCCAAAGTCCCTCTGTAAGGATATCTCTTTCACCAGGTAAAACTGATATTGGGTAAATTAAAATACTTGCTCTGAATTTTTATCCTGCAACGGCTGGGTTAGTTTTCTCCAGGGATTGTATGCAGAGTCTATACTGTAGAGGCGCATGTGCATGGCCAACACGTGAAACAGCTGATCTGAAAGGTGAAGAAGACAGATTGCTGAGTATCATAGACAGTGATAAGAACTATTTCACATTAAATTGCCATCATGTATTTTACAAGATTCTGAAAAGTCTGTCATGTCATTCCAAATAACCTGGTACCCTAAAAAGCGTGTTTTTATTAAGTATTTCTGTATTTTCCTAAAAAGGATTTGAAGAGAAGATTTCAATAAAAGGCAGGTAACACATGCATATATACAGAAGAATGTTCCTCTCTGAAACAGAGAAAGGCTGTTTAGAAAGCTTTAGCTTTGACCAGGTGTCTGTTGTTTTGGTGCTCCATGTATTTAATTACAGACCTTTTAAAAAATCCTGTTTCATATGCTGTTATGGTGCTAAGGTTCCATGCTCACCTCACTTGCCTCTCCAGTTTATACCAGAAGCGGTAATTTCCTAAACACCTCTTCCTAACAGACTGATACACTTTTGGCTTTTATTACGCTCTCTCACAGTTAAGCTCAACATATTCGAAATTTAACCTAAAATTGCTACAAGTTCTGGCCTGTGGCCAGATCACTTCAGCTCCACATCTATAAAAGGTTTTTATTCCTTCTGCCTTCATATGGTTATTTTGTAGGTAACCTTTGGACAAAAAAAAMCCGAAGCCCACAAACTTCTGACTATATGTCAGTGACACTAACGTAGCAACAAGTCTTTATGTCAGAGATTTGTCCATACAACCTGCAGGTAAAGTTAGTTTTGTTATTTAAAAACCTTCTGTACTTCCACTCYACTAAAAATACCATTTACAAAACCCCCTGCAGAATATTTCAAACAGAGGATGACATTACTCATGGAGATTTACTGAAGCATTTTATATTAAAATTCAGAGTTTTCATTTATCTACGAATCATGTGATCAACACAAATCAACACAACATCTAACCCTTCCTCTCATTAAACAGCCCAAGAAGGCAAGCACCATTTAGGTTGACAGCATTTTTAGGGTTGTACATGCARTAAAAAACACAGAATGGTTTGAGTTGGAAGGGACCTTTAAAGGTCATCCAGGTCCAAGCACCCTGCAATGTGCAKGGTATCTTCAAATAGATCAGGGACTATTAGGGATACTGACTTCACTTCTTTTTCAGTGAATCCTTTTTTAACTTCATAGGTTTATACTGAAATAATTAAAATATAATTTCCCACAATTTTGCTTAATCCTTTCTCCCTCTCATACTGTATCTTCCTATTTGGTGTCATGCTTTTCTCCTGTTCAATTTTCTAGGACCCTGCTTCCTTTCTCCCTTTCATTTTAATTTTTCCCTCTAGTATCCTGACACTATCTTTCCCCGCTACTCCTTATTTTTTCAACTGATCCCTTTGCATCTTTCTCTCTAAATCTGTCTCCCTCTCTTTACAGCCCACTTRCTCAACCTAACCACTCACAGGTCCTTTTTTTAAAGTAGAAATAGCAGCTATTAATTTATTTCCATAAATAGACAATTACTCAGAGGTACGCAATGGCCAAAAGTGTCGCATGATGAAGTCAGCTGACTGCCAGAGCCTGAGGGCTGTAATTAGCTCCTGGGGTTTGTAAAATAATTGGAGCTGTAGATGGCATTAGAATTGATAGCTGCCACCTGCTTTCTGAATAAAAACAGTCAATGAGGACAAAATAAGTCATCTTTTCTCCTGTCAACAGATTCTTAGCAAAACACTGCTTTGCTGATAAAGTTCAAAACTCTGAAAATGTACTTATATTTCATCAAAATAAGAAAAAAACCCCTCAAGTATAATTTTATTCAGAATGAAACCCATGAAAATATCTGTTCCTTCCCTCCTGCCTGTTAGCTAATGAAAGCTTTTTTTTTCTCAACTGCTCCTTGCTTTAAACAGAAAAGGGCAACTATGAAAAACAAAAAAAGAAATAAAATTTAAAAAAAAAAATGAAAATTGTTCAGTCATTAAGTCATCCGCTGTTCCTTTAACAGTTATTTCCCCTAAGCTTTTACTAATATGAAATTAGGCAGGCAAGCATCAAATTCCAGCACTGGGGAATTTATTTGTCATCTCCAAGTGTGTAACATTTCCAGAAGCCAGACACATTCTAACAGAGCCTGGATGTGCCCAGACCAATGCAGTTTAGCAGCCGTGGAAGGCRGCACATTTGCCTGCGATCAGACCAGAGGTACAACCCATGGGCACCGTGCCCCGGGGCCCTGCCGGGAGCAGCCCCAGCCCCGCCACAGCTCCAGCCAGAGGCACCCGAGCTTCAGTCCTGTTTTACCACCGGCACTCCAACTGCTTTGCTTACTGTGACTATGAAGTAAAAGCCAAGGAAAACTCCAGAGCACTGGAAATCAAGACCTGGTAACTTGTTTGTGCACCAAGTGCTTGGTGCTGCACCACGTCCTGAGGGACTGGCAGAAAAACCCGAGGGCTTTTCCTGCCGATTTGTGGAACACATCATTCCAAAACAGAGGTACAAAGATAGAGAATGTCTTCCCATTTWCTTATACCCTGACTGCAACCTTTAAAATACATGTAATTGCTATTTTCAAACAAGTAGCAGCAAAACATTACCATGAAATGGCTCACAGACATCAATCTTGCCCAGCCCCAGGGACCTCAAACTGCTCTGTCCCTCACAGCCAATTCTCCCCAGGACAGGCCATCCTTGTAAGAGGGAAAGGCAGGACCTGGTTGTAGCTCAGAGTCATCAAAAAAAAAAATCATTCTCAAGCATATTTTTTAGGAAGAATATTAATTTTAGAATGCCCAGCAGCAATAAAATTAGGGAATGGAAATTACGAAGCCACAAAAAACCAAGAATTACAAGTTTACTTATAACAAGTCATGAGAAGTAAATTTTGAAAAAAATTTAATATCATTCTCCTGTCCTAATAACTCCGTAGTATTTGAGACAGTCTGTTTCCAGATAATTTGAATAAAAATAAAATTTGCACCATTTAGACGTACAATATAACTTATTGCTGCAAGTCATCAAGGGGCTTGGAAGAATTCCAAAATCTRGACATTTCAGTGGGCAAGATTACTACTGGTTTAAAACATGAATGGCAGAAATTCTAAAAATGCTGTGCTCAGTTGACAAAAATGAGTGATTGACAAAGTTGTATGCAGATTTAAGTTTTGGTCTCACTTGTAATCTTGGTTTGGTCTTTGCCAAAGTGATCMCAAATTCCTACATTAAATTTTGATGCCTGTTTTTTTTTGGTTTTTTTTTCCTAGTCTCTTAACTGTAAAGTAGACKCTCAAATTATTGATTATCAATAAGGAGATTAAGGAATGTTTTTTTCTCCTGGTAGATTTATACAGTCCACTTAGCAATAACAGCTGCAAAGACCTACTGACAACATCTTCCCATTCACCACTGAACCAGTAGACTTGAATCAAAGTAAAAAAAAATAAGAAGGTCAGAAAAAAGCCTATTAAGGCATTAAGACTGGATATTCTTTACAAAACCTCTTTTATCYTTACCATGTCTTAATTGCTGATGAAGCAGCCAATTATCCTCAACACTGAACTTGCCAGTGTATGAAATCAACTTTASTAACAGAATTCCAACAGTACCTACCTTTGCTTCTCCCACACTAGATATCAGTTGCATACCAACTGTTTTAGAAAATACTTAAGATCACTTGTTGGTGAGAAAAAGTGCTTTTTCCAAGTTAGGATGAATGGGCACCAAGGATCTGCARTCTGACAGCTCCTAACTGAAAACAACCCCAAACCAAGCAAACTAATAAAAAAATCCAAATCCTGCAATGCCAAAAAGCCCAACCAACCACCAAAACCTACTAGAGCAAGGGGTTCTTGAAAACTCCTTTCATTCTTTTTATTCTTTTTACTACCCAGTGGCTGGAGAGAGCTGGGTAGGACTCTTTGCAGCCATATCCACATCAAGATTATAGGAAAGAGACAGATGCAAGTCAATCTTGCAAATCATAAAAGAATTAGGTTTTTCTCCCTACAAGTAGCCCCAAGTGTCACTGTCTATACTGAGAAAATGGAGACAGCYGTTACTTTCAACATGGTTGAAAAATCTGATACAGAAGGATCATGAAAGAGAAACAGTAAGTTTCTATGCTCATAAAAACCCTAAAAGCACCAATTAAACTATCATAATCAAGATAAAAGTTTCAAATTAATGAGAAAAAAAAAACCACCACCAAAACCAACCAACCCACAAAAACAACTCCCATGAAGCAATACTGTTTCTCAATGTTTAGCGCCATTGCTTAGAAGTTACAAAGGTGCTATTTAAGAAGGTTTTACACAACTCCTAAATAATTTTTTGATGTTCCTGCTGTAAATAATATCCTTTCCATTTAATGCAGTTGATGCAGCAATGCCAGACTTCTATTTGCGGGAAACATAGGGATAAGGARCTCATTTACAGAGAAACTGAAGCCAGAGGACAACAGGATAGAATATTTAATCCGTCTCCAAAACCTTAATCCTATCCTTCTCACAAAGGGGAAAAWGGAAAAAAAAATAAAAAAAACCACAGATAGACAGAAAGAAAAGAACTATTCAAAAGTTTAAAAAGGAAGATTATAAATTAATTTATAGGTAACATTTAAATATTTWGGAACTGTTCATCAACTATTGCAAGATTACCGGAGTATGAACAGCAAAGAAAAACACATCTACACAAGTTAAAGAGAGGTCATAGAATCAGAGAATGCTAAGGGTTGCAATGGACCTTAAAGATTCTCTAATCCAAATCCCTCAGAACCCCACCATGGGCAGGTACCCCTTCCATTAGACCAGGTTGCTCAAGGCCTTATACAAAAATTGTACAGTGAAATTGTAATTATTCAGCCWTAATGCTGAGTTCTGACCCTGTTCTATACATACAGAACAACAAAAACAAAAGCTAAACAGATGTATTACACTTTATAAAGCAGAGAAATAAGACCTGTACAATTGTTATACATCATAATTTTCCCTAAATCCATGAGAATTTCCAAGGCCATAGACTATAAAACTGTAATGTTATTCTTCAAAAAGGACTTGATTTTCAAGAAATAAGTAACAGGATTCTATTTGCAKTTTTTTGGTTGCACACACATACAAAACTTTCAGCCTTAAAATGGCAATTTTGCAGCCAAATTTTCTTCACCATTCTTCTCACACAGACTTGGTCACTGATGCTAAGAGCTACATTAATCATTCTTAATTTTACTTCCCAAGAGCAGCTGCCCTCATGGTGCAATCTACTAAAACAGCTTTTGACCTATTTGCTCCCACCATCCTCCCTGATGTTTTCTGCTGTAATAGCTCACCTGGGACAATATATTCTATTTTGCACAATATCTAATCACCAAATTTCACAGTTGTTACAAGACTACTACAGACTGGTATGCTTAATCACAAAAGAAACCCCTCAGTATCTCATACACAGAAAAAGCAATACCAGGTGATGTTTTAGATTATTTCTGCTGAAYCTGACATGAATGACATTTAAAAACAAAAGCCGTTTCAATACTACTCAAGGAAGACTTTAACAGAACAGTACTCAAGTTCTAGACAGGGTATGGATTATTAAAATCATTCTTTCTTCACTGCCTAAGACAATGAAGACKCTGAAGGTACATTTTAAATAAAACTTCAAAAACATGATTACTCTTGGAAAATTAAATTACTATGGAGGGATGATAACACATACTCCAGAATATGAATACACAAAACTACCATTTTTCTTAACTTAAATGCAAGGATGTAGAAGGGGCAATGAAGGAAACACACAATTATATAATGGTTTAGTGAAAACAAACCCTGAAAACAAACCCTGCTATACATATAAAGCTAACTCTGCTCCCACTAGTCATATCAAGCCTCATGTCTAAACCTAAATATAACAGTAATAAMCAGTAATACTGTACAGGTCTGTTCTAGGAGAATCCCATTACCTTATAKAAAAAAACAAGTCTATTTTAATGCAAGATTAAATATGACCAGCTGGCTATATAACAATTTGACAAAGTACCAATACAGAACATAAACAGCATCTGAACATTTTAACAATGAATAAATGACATTCGTGTCTCTGTGCTGCTTAATGCAACAACACATTCATATATGTAGTGCCTTTCACCTGGAAGGCCTTGAGTTTTTCTGGAGTACAAGATAAATACTAGAARTAACAACATGACTGACTTAGATGTAAATAAGAAAATTTACCATTCTACACAAAAGTGTGAAAAAAACCAAGTGCATTGCGGTAAGATGCTGTCCTTCATCAGAAATATGACTATAATCCTATTAGCAGCTGCTGAAGAAAAAAGCACTACTACAACACACTCAAAATTGCACAACAGTTTAAGACAGGAACAGAAAAATATTATTGCAAACAAAGTGTAATGCATTGTAATGCAATTTAAGTAGAAAAAGAAAATAAAATCAAGCTATGTTATCAGGTTTTAAAAATTCATCAATATGCTTTTCAATCAATATTCTAGCAATTTCAGATGAATCTGAATCACATAATGAATCACATAATGGAGAAAAAAATTTCTTTTCCCTAACAATACACAAAATTCTGAATACAAACCTCTCAGTGATTCCATGAAAACAAAGTTTTTYTTTGTGGACTATTTTATTTTTCAYACAGATAATTAATGCACAGTTTCACAGTGAATTTTTAACCAAAATATAAATATTTTATGAACATTTTCCATTTTGCAAACTAGCACATATTTTTCAAAGCAACAGTTGATGCAATCTTAAATCTTCTCCCTATGAAGACGATTTCTATACTTCTCAATTGTGAAAGTATCTCTAACTTCTGAAAAGTTTAGGAAATTTAGTTTGTTCCATTAATTAATTCTGATGAAAAGGAAAATTGGTTCATTTTACGAGACATACAGAGGCAGTGGCAAAATATTAAAAAGGCTGGAAAAATAGGGAAGTATAATATTAAACATGACTATAAATTGTCATGCCTAATTGAATTATTCATCCAGCAAGACAATCCTCCAGTGGAAATACATCCTCCATTTATCATTTCCAATTTTGTAATTCTCCAAGAAGAAATTTCTCCAGTGATTAAAGTATGTTCTATGCATTTCAAGCCTTGAGAAATRTGTATTAAAATTCCTGACAAAACTTCTCACAGACTGTCAGCAAAAGGTATGCTTTCCTTTAAAGTTARGTCCTAAGTTTGCAAGAATCCTTTTTTATGCAGGAGGAAGTCAAAGGGGTGGTGTGGTAAGAATAAGAAAAACATTAAATAATGTATTATTATACAAACCACCTAGTGTCAGTTACCAGGCCTTAGCTTGGTGGCATTTCTTTCTTTCTTTTTTCTTCAAACAACGCCCCGGAAAGAGAAACCACTTTGAGGTAGTTTCTTTGTATCAAGTGATGTAGTTCAAAGTGTAACAGTGACGTTATAGAGAGATGTACACAAAGGAAGCTGCCCGCCAATCCAGCGGTCCAACCACTCTGTCTAAAATCATCATCTTCCAGCATTAACTGACATTAGTTAGTGATGAAGCACATCAGAAAACCTATTATCTTTTAGATCTATTTATCTGTCTACCTAACTCTCTTTCAAATAGGTACATGTAGCAAAAATTTGTGATGTCAAACATTTCACAGTGTTTTAAGATCTAATTAATGCATTTAATTCCACGTTTAAAAGAATAAATCACACATAAAAACTGGATCTCCTGATTTTAAAGAACTATCAACTAGATAAAAATATGACCTTGCAGATTACTGGCCACTTCCCTGCATACATTCTTCTAAACTCTAAAATTTCAATAAATTTTACGACCAGTAAAGCCATGTGAGAACAAGGATATACTCTCATTATGTATAACAGCATTATAAATTTTTTCACTTTCAGAAATTTTTCAGTTTTAAGCTGAAAGCTCCACCCTAACCTGCTCATCATGTTCTTCCAAACACAYGCCTGTGAAATAGGTAAACACATTAGTAAGAAGTTAAAATTCAGGGAGAAAGCGCCCATCTTACTAGGTAAGCATACAACTAAAAATATGTTTTAATCTAAGTATAAAGTATCTGCAGAACCTTGGTTTATTACACACTTCAAATTTGCACACAGTGATGTAAAGATGTTCTTTTAACACACCCACTTTTCAGGTACKTGGTCTGCTGAGAAAGGGGGGCAATGGTGGTAGGGAAAGATAATGTGCAGTGAGGTTTAAAACTGGTTTTCAAAATCATAACACATGAATGAGATTAGTTGAACTACATTTCCTGACAGTAACAGTAGGATTCTGTCCTGGAGGGAATGTGGACAGCATAGCTCCTGATGAGATTTCTTTGGTGGCTTGTCACCTCCAGTGATGAGGAAAGCATCCCACACAAACTGTACACAAAAAGGCAGAGGGGGGCCTCAGGTTTTTTACTTTTTTTCCTACAGAATCTACTGCTATTGCTACATAAGCCTGACTTCAATAAGCATTAGCAACAGTGGCAATATTCCAGAAGGCTTTCCAATTTTTCCTGACAAAAGAAAATRTCCACTCATAAGTGTTTTTATTCCAGTAAAAGTTTAAAGTACTTTCTTTTAAGAAAATAAAATCTTAAAAATTTTTAAGAAAATAAAAATAAAAAGCAACAAGAAGTTGCTTTATTTGACAAATATTAAAGGTTTCAGAACAACAAAAATTTGAAAATTTCTATGAAAGAAAATTCGCAAAACCCTGTCTGTGGAAGAACTAGGCAAATTGAAGACATGGGATCTTGTAGCAGCATATTTCAAAGTATGAGACCAAGTCATGAGCTGCATTAGCATTCAGAACTTCTCTATTGCTAGCAACMAGCAGGGTGAAACAAAGCCTTCCTGCTTCACCCTTAAAATACTTCTAGTGTTTTATTCATTAAAATGTGAACATTGAAAAATATTACATGGATAATATGACAATTGATTTCTAAATAATTATACTCACAGGATATGAACAGCTTTAATGAAGAATTTGTACAAATTAATTTTCAGATTTCTCTAACAGAAACAAAAAACCAAATACTCTTTATGACAGAAAAAAAAGGTTTTAAAAGGAAACAGCTGATGTAATTTTGAAAGTACCAGACAGAACCAGACATCTTTATTCAATATTCTAAWAATTTATACTGCCTTTAATAACATGGAACTTACTTAAACATGATCTTTTCCCAGCTGTGCTTGCACCTCCTGAACACAAATTTCCTCCTCGGTGAACCAGCTCAAGTTCCAAGTTTGTTCTGTATGAAAAACATAATAGTATTGAATGGAACATTATTCAAGCTTTTATGGGCACAAATGAGTCATGACAAACTCTCGGAAAACACTAAATAGAACTGTGAACTAATCTTTAGTGTGAAACATTGCTGAAATACAGCWCAGAACAAAATGAACTTTATCAAGATATTGTCATACATGTAAATACTGCATTAACATAGTACTGTACTGTGAGAAAAGARTTAAGAGAATGTTAACTCTGAGGCTTTCTTCTGTAAGCACACACAGCTCAATAATAAAGGAATTCATGTGCAAGTCTGAAAGACAATAAAAAGAGTGGCTAACTTTCAGTCAATCATATACATCTAGTTAAGTGTTCTCTTTATTGGCAGGGCTTTTGTTTTGCTTTAAACAATCAGAGAGTACAATAGATATGGCATCAAATAAATTTGAATACAGTCTAAATCATAATTAAATGACTGCCCTTTATAGATAATAAAAGCCTTGGAGGTTAATTCTGAATGAAGCATTATTCACTGCAGCTCATTAGTATGAAACAGGAGTTGTGGCACTAAATCTCTGCATGTCACACTGATGCTTTCTTTCTTAGTATTATTGTAATCTAATACTTAGACACCAATTGTTTAGGCCAAATTTGATAATTTTGTTTAATTTTGGAATTAGATGTTTCAGTACTGCATTATCTTTTACTCACAAGATTTGGAGCAAACAATTTCTATTACATTCTGAGAGCTTGTTTTAGAAAGTCAACATACATTTTTCAAATTAAAATAAAGGAACATAATTCTATCATTTGGAAGTGTTGTTTTGCTAATTCAATCCAAACTGCAAATCTCATTCTAAAAATATTTTATCCTCTGATGAAAAATGGAAGATTTTTAGGTTCAATGCAATGCGACTGAATACATATTAAAATCTATTCTAGAATTTTAGGCACAATATATCCAAGCTAAGACCATCCCCCCACACACATATATTTAAGAAGAAACTACAGGATGACTTTTATTCAAAACAAATTATTTTAATGAATTTCAGCTTCATCAGCTTGAAAGARTAATACATTTTGGTATGCAGTGTTTGTTAAGATACTTTCCTATGTTTTTAAAATAGCAACATTTCTGAATATTWCTATCCCTAAGTTTGCAGCTTATGCCATCCATTTCTGAAGGAATGCTTTAATCCTCTCTACTCAGAAAAGGCAATTTAACATTGATAATATGCCTGCTCAGAGYTCCATCTGGTTGCTGCTGATAAGGGCATCTGTGTGACAGGGGAATTTTCCACTCTTCAGGCGATTTGCAGTACTCAYTGAACTTCTGAAAATCTACCAGCAAGGAAGCAGGGACGGGGATTTCACATTAGTGGGCAAAACAGCAACTGTAGATCAGCATATGCTAGTTCATCATGGGAATAGGAAGGAAATCAGAACATTTTATTTCTACAAACCTTCTGAAAACTRATTTGTAGAAGAAAATGGATGGTAGTCTTCCATTAAAACCAAGACAATTAAGATTTAAATCTTTAACTGAATGTTTAAGAAWAATTTTCTAGATCTACAATTTTAAATTTCCCTTTCACCAAGACATATGTACCATTTCACAAAACAAACCTGAGGGACAATTCTAAACGTACCTCTTGTTGGTACATATGAGGTGTCACGTAGTACTTTTTGCTATAAGGAATGTAAGGTATGTCTGTAAACATATTCTCTGTTCACATATATGCTACCAACTCTCCCCTCCCACACATCTTCATTGTCCCCAGCTCCTCAAAGGCAGCACCTTATAGTTCAGCTTTCTTGGAAATGTAAGTATTAACCTTTTCCTTCAATACATCTCTTTCAAAACAAACCTGTACCTTGGCATAAAAATGCACAGTAGGGAAAGCAACTTCTGCAAAAATGAACACTCATCCTTCATAAAATATCCTACATCAGATACAGACCTCAATCATTTCTGGGAGAGACCAGTGTATCTCCTCCCTAATTTGAGCTCCTGCCTTGAGGATCTGAGTGCCCTCTGCCCTTACTGAAGAAAAGTAAAGAAGAAAAATTGGGAGCATCTGATAGAAGAGCGGAATACAGAGTGGTCTCTGAAAGAATCCTTTGCTATCTCAGACTCCTCAACATGAAAGAAAGAGAAAGAAAATCTATATGAATGTCGTCTTTTCCTATCTAGAAATCTCAGCGTCATTGATTGAAGTAAAAGATTTTGTAGAACACTGCCTTTATCTTCCTCACTCACAGAATAAAGGCTGAGAAAATGGATTTTGCTCAGCTGTCCAGACTCCCAATTAAAAACAGACCTACTTCATCCCTTCTTGTGAGCTTTTATTAAAGGAACATATTGGGGGTGGGAAAGGTGAGTTCATATTTCTCAGAATTCAYACCAGGACAGAGCAGGGGGACGTAAAAATGCCATGCCCTTTCCAGGAAGGGAATATATTTGGACAGACTTGCTCTTCCTACTGGGACAGAAGCAGCATACTAAGCACTGTCATTTTTTCTCACTTCAATTTACAAACAAAACACATTTATGGAAAAACCCCAGATACTGAGACACAAACTCAGAAGGAAAGAACACATGGCTTTTATATTAGTCTATACATAGCTAACAGAAAACCCAAAAGCCAACAAAAGCATGAAACTACTGCTATGCAATACAGAAGCAGTCCTTCACGATATCACCACAAATTATAGCCTGCAATGCTCTGAATGTGGAACTATTAAGATTTAAGCTAGGCACACGTGATTTGAGAATGGTACACTACACTAATCTCACAAACGTCAGCAAAGACAAGGAGGAATGCATATGAGAAGGGTACAAATTTAACAAGATACGACTGCCGGGAAAACAGGAGGCAGCCAAGGAGCTGCTCTTCCAGCTGTGCATGCAAATCGGGATGCCAAGACCCGGAATGCCTCTTTTGCTAGCTAAACACAGCTGCTAGCCCTCCCACTAGGGCTGAGAGCCCACCCACTAGGTGGTAGAGAGCTCTTTTGTAATTTCTTTTCTCTGCTACCAGGGACATATCCCTGGGTAAGCAAAAAAAAAGAAAAGTAAGTTYCTTTTTTCCTGAAGGAGAAAGAATAACCTGCAGCAATTGGCTATGTATCGTTTACCAACAACACTCCCATTCCAGCATGCAGTAATCCACTTCAAAGCTGGCATTCAGCTGTAAACTCTTATCTTTTAAGACAGGAGATGATGTCATTTTCTGACTGAAAATGGAACATGACTTATAAGAAGATTAAGAGAATTTAATTCACACGCAAATATACTGAGTWAATAAAAGTATCACTGCATTCAAATGCTCATCTAAACGGGGGTTAAATACCAGGAAAAAGTGTGTAACAGATGCAGGTGGACTGATCAAAACCAATTACACCTAAATGGAACTAAAATGCTCAAATGTTACTGGTTGGTAAGGAACACAAGGGTACCATTATCTCAAAAAAACTGGAAGGAAATGCAGAAGGTTGAATGACAGGAATAACTTGCAGGAAGTAAATGACTTCAGTATGTAATTTTAATTGTGGACAGTCTGTTGTTTGATTACTTAAAATTAAACACATAATAAAATCATACTAAGAAAACTCATGCACTGTGAAGGATGACACACTGACTTAGAGATTTACTTCCAAAAATACAAAGTGCAAAGTTATATTAAAATGGCTATTTTAAAGTTTMATATTTTTAACCTATAGTTCTTATGCAATTATCAGGTAATAGAATCATGTAAATCTGGATTGCTGCACTGAATGGCAAGAGAAGTTAACTACCTTGAAACCGATCTGYCAGATTCCCTCCTAAGTGATCTTGTGAGTTATAGTAACAATCCAGAAGGCTGGATCCCACACCTGAAATTCTTCAGTCATGGATAAATGGAAAATTACTGACACCAGGCTAACCCTRACAGGAAGAGGCCACAAGGAGTGCAAGTGACCTACCCTACTCTTAGTGGTCAACCACTGAGCAGTGCAAGCAGCAATGAAATGCTGTTCTGGTTTGAGGTATTTTTAACTCTTTAAATGAAAACAAATCTTGGGCTCTGGGTGTAAATATGAAAGTAATATATAGATACATTAAAAATATGTTTGGCTAGCATTTTAAAGATTATGTAACATTGCACCCAGAAATGTATTTTAACACCATTTTTGTATCTTACATGGCATGTCAAATTATGGTAACAAGTAATCATAATTTTATATGTGAAATACTAATTTTGAGTATTTTGTATTTTTGGAAGGGTATTAAACTGTAATGRTTAACATGTAATTGCTAAAAAACTCAACATTATTTATCCTTGTRTTGCATATACCACTTAAAAACACAAAATAATCCTTTAACTTGCTATGTATAAAATTTCATAGCTCTTCTTTATCAGTTAAAATACTTTGAAAGAATACAGACAGTATTTTTTAATAGAATTATACAATAATTTAAGTTGGAAGAGAATTCTGAAGATTAGATGGTCTAACCTTCTGTGAAAAGTGGAACCTTATATTTGATTAACCAGAGTCCTGCTGAGCCAAGCCTTGAATATTTCCACGGCTTATATACTAAAGACACTCAGCAATCAGAGTTTATGAAACTGCAATAAAAAAACGCTACTCAATGCTATCACTTCTATGCTTGCAGTTTCTCTGCAGCACCTTCCCTGCTGGCCTCAGTAAGTCAGAGTTTAGAAAATTATTTGTTTAATAAGTATTTCAACTTCTTAAGGGAAAACCTTGTATCACGGTAACTCTGAACAGATTAACCATTCAGAGTACCTTAACATTAATGGTATCGATGGAATGAGGGATTGTTTGATTTTCTTGGAGACTGTATGTGACACAGCTATAAAATGACAATCAAACATCACAAAGAAAATACTGCTAGTTTGGACACATTTTTAGAAGTCTATAGACTACATGAAGAGAAATCCCTTGTTGCTGATATAAAAAAGCTCCTTCTGTGATCCTCAGTTAAGTAAMTAAAACTAATGTCTGGCAGAGAGATTAAAAACACCTTGTGATGTAAAAGTGAGCAATATGGCAACAATACAAAAAGAAAATCTCATYCTGCCAAAGAGAGATTTGACAATTTGGGAATGGAAAGTAAAAAAAKAAATGCAACACAAAATTTTGATTTATGGAAAGCAAAAACTTGAATAAAGAAGGAAACTAAACAAACATACAACAAAAAGTTCTCCAGATTTTGTGCCATTGCTGCGCATAGTAAAAATTAACTGAGAGGCTGATCTTTTCATCTTGCATAATGCCTGTACATGAAAATCAGAAAACATGACCTTGATGTACTGAGTAGTCAAAAAGTCCTTTTTGGAGAGGATGAAATATTTTTTAATTTTTTCTTTTTTAAAGAAGAAAGTTATCTAATGATAGTGACTGATACCACTAGTGGGAAATAGAAAAGAAAAAAAAATATTAAAAGAAAAACATACCCACCTGGCTACAGAATACATGAACAGGAAATCATTGTCAGGTGATCCAGGAGTCTTACTATAATCTGTATACTTCTTCTGTGTGGTACTTTTTATATCTTTCATTACAGATTCCATTTCTTTACTGAGGTTGGTTTCAGACTATGAACAAAGACAGGAAAGAACATCAGTTAATTTTCCCTGAAGAAAGGCAGTAGCTGATTGAAAAGCCTAGCACTTTCATATTTGTAAAACACATTTGCAGGTTATGAAAAAATACACATTAAAAGTCAGTATTCTGTCTCAAAGAAGTATCAGAATATTTTGAAAAGTTGTTTGGATTTGTTCTGAATATGAAAACATAAGTGTTTTGTCCATCTCCTAAGTTTAAGAATCTCACTGTTTCCACTATTTTAAAATTGCACTGTACAAGTACACAAAACCACAAAACATCTCCATCAAGACTGGAAGGTAACAAAATTAAATAYAATTGATTCTGTCATTCAGAGGACCTCATGAAGGTTTGTAACACATGAACATCTGCAAACTGCTCTTTTTATAAAAAAAACAGTCCATGCTTTAAGAAGATCTTAACAGACATTATTTAAATAGCTTCCAGTTACAAGAATATTGTTGATTTTTCACTGCACAGAAATTATAAATATATTTTATGTTATGCAACTTAGTTCAATATAAATTACTATGGAGAAAACTGAAAATGTACTAAAAATTATATTAATTATATAAATCACATTTTGTCACAACTTTCAACTGTTTATTATTAGTAGGTAATGGAGTAAATGCTCTAAATACTTAAAATTTCTTGATTAGAAAACAGTGGTATGTTGTCTTCCATATCAGAAGAAAATGACTTTCCCAGGCTGCCAGGTTTCTAAGAGATCACAAATGCAACACAATGTAAAAACTGAAAGGTAGAGGCAAATTAACAAGGATCTTTCTGCCTTACACTGATGCTTACTGGGAAAGTTCCCAGCTGTTCTTGAAGATCTTCCACCTCTTGTACAAGYTCTTGCATTGACTTGTTACTGTGACTTTGCCAAACGTTTCTTTCCACGTTGTTTCCAGGGTAGCAAGGAAGAACACTGTTAGCAAACTGCCTACACAAGGGACAGGTAAATTCTCCTTTGTCCACTGAAAAACCCTGGAGAACTTGGTCATTCTAAAAGAAAATAAAGAAGATGTAGCTGAAATTTGCAAATGATTATAGTTTTTTTAGTTTGATARCTCAGGTGTGTAGCTAAAAACAGTAAGTATAAACCCCAAAACTGTAAAAAATAATTAGAATAGCTCCCCATTTTAATGACTTAATGACTTTAGACTGTCTTACAATCCTCCTAATCCTAATTTTCCTAATTTTTAAGTACTCTCCACTGTCTACAATATCCTCATAATAAAGTAGAAAGACTTCAATGGAATATTTCTGACATTTCATCTGTGTTGTCTCTTTCTGACAACTCCCATAAAGTTTGACACTCCAAGTACAGGCTGAAAGAAACCTAATCAAGTAGCCGTTGGAGGGCAGCATGAGAAAAACCCTGATTATTTCTTGTATCACATGAAAGATCAAAAAATGGACATAAGTACGTGTTTGGGAAATGAGGACGTGTCCTCAGTATTCCTGCAAACTGGCAAGCAGCTTTGCTTCAGCTTCATGGAGTTGCCTCCATGGTCTTCCATGTTGATATATGATTGTATTATGTAAAAATAAATGTTTCCTCCAGATGAAAAGAGGTCTCTTTAAACTATTTTGGTACTAAAAAAGGTCAATAAATAGTCAAAATTTTTATGCATTCATTTAGGCACTAGTAAAATGTTAGGATCAGAAGTTCACTTAACTTATCCAGAAACCTTCAAGAAAACAATGAGGTAGAATAACAGTTCATTTCAAGTTTGATAGAGAACMCACCAGAAAAATTACTTCAGAATTTATCAGATGAAAAAAAATTACTTTTCCAAAATTCTTCAAAGTGAGATTCTAACATGAATGTCCAGATTTTGCTGCTGTATTTATTTATATAATTTTTATATTATTTTATATTTATCCCRATGACACGATTACTGCTGCAAGCAAATTTAAATTAATATGGAAAAGAACAATTAATCATGGAATCCAATAAAGGTCGCACACCTTCGAGTGTCTTTAGAGGCTGAGTTTCATATTGCATTTTACTAAAAATACAAGGAATGGCTCACAGTGTTTCTCATAATGAAAAGCAATTAACAAAAATTACAAAAAAACCCCAACACAGCAAAAACAACAACAAAAAAACCCAACAGAAAAAAAAACACCACCAAACCCCCCACCCATGAAAACAAAAGAAAACAAACCACAACAACCCCCATCCCAAACCCACCAAAAAACACCAAACCAAAATCCTGAAGAAATATCCCATAAAACAATCTTGAACAAAAATGCTGGTTCATATGAAACAAGAAGTCATCACTTAGTCTTTGCTTTTTTTTGTGCTGGTTAATTTTGTTAAGTATTTTTTCTGATACATCAGAATAACTGAAAACAAAGTACATTTGTTAATATTGTCAAGATGCAATAAGAGATTAAGTTACTAATTTCTTGGAACATAAAAAAAACATTCTGTACATTCATACAAAACATTTGATTGACCTGATTTGAACAGCATAAATCCAACTGATTTCAGCAGGAGCAGTTCAGATGTAAATACGCAAATATGATCTTCAGTTTTGCTTACCCGCAAGGATTCCATGTAAGATTTGTGACAATCTATGTGTAAAGTGTGACCACAAGTTTGTACATAAACACCTCCTTCCCAGCCTATTGATACTGCTTGCAAGCAGGAACTCTAAAACAAAGCAAAAACAGTAAGAAAGAACAACAATTATATATAAAGCTATAAAAGTATTTACCAAACTTTAAGACTTACAAGATGCAGAGATTTTTATTTCCAAGCTATCTAATGAAAAGACATCCTGAATAAATGAAGAAAAAAAATCAATTTTATTAAGTGTTTGTTTATGCTGATTTACATGGCTGCCATTATGCTATTCTTTCCAACAAAGAGCCAGAGTTAAATTAAACTTCTGCAGTTTTTGTCACCTAAGATAACAGCTCGTTTAAGGAACCTCTTGTATYACAGCATGAAGCTGGGTCTAACTCCAACAGGTGTTCCAACAGCAGAAGTTATCCCATTTACAAGGGCAATACACTGTTCGAGTATATTTCACTCAGTTTTGTAGACAACCACAATAACAGTACTATAGTTATACCATTAAGCCCAAATCCGTTAGTAAAATTCAGTGTAAACACTTAGGGGTTTTAATAAGTTGTTGAACAGCATCATATATAACKCATCATAATTGGAAAAGAGAACAAATATTTGTTAAGTGAACTCAGTTTTAGACTAGGTTTGTTTTGAAAACATTGGCCTTATTCAAGGACTGCACTTAAATCCCAGAATATGTAAACAACAGTGGGGGGGGGAGCAAATTTGGAAGATCATTGGAGAATTAAAGCCCAATATGTTAATAAGGCAGAACTTGGGCTTGGGATGGAACACACCTGTATCAAACTATTGATTACAGAGCACTATGCGATTCTGAAAATAGACCTATCAATTCAGTATATGAAATTTTATCTCCTAATCCTTAGTCACACCTCTCCATATTAAAAGGAATCTCACTCAGTGATCGTGCCTTTAAGGGGTGAGAACTCCCCAACAGCAAGCATCAAATTACAGCTGAGAAAAGTGYGAAAAGGAATCTCTGTGGAAAGAAGGGATCTGTTTTGCCCAATCTCTATGAAGGCAGTAGAAAGGAAAGTCAAAGGCAGCACTTCCACAGAGGTCTGTAACTGAGCACGTCCTGCTAAGCAAGAAGAATTGGCTCTCAAAATTAAATGTGAAAAATTGTAATTTGGCTTTGTGAAGTAACACAAAACTCTGGTACRGCTAACAGATCCACAAAGCAGACATTAGCTACCAGTTAATGTAAAATTGCTTTAGATGTTGTGCAGAGTTGAGGATTCCGCATATGAGGGTGCATTTTACTGGTTGTTCCTTCCCATCCACATATCCTCSCCTTCTCTGTAGTGGCTCAGAAACCTGTTACAGATTAAAACTTTTTCCACTTACTTTGTGCTGCTAAGTAAGAGCAATTCCTTGACTGGGTTCTCTGAATGGCTACAAGAAAACTGGTGTTTGCTTAGTCACCAAAACCATCTTTCAATTGTGTGGTCACACTGGACTGTGAAATGCCACTTTCTAGAGAGTATCTGTGTGGATATTTAATGACTATGTGSCTTATAGATATACTAGATGCCTATYGMCAAAAATATACCTAGGGGAAAGACAGACACTGTTTAAAAATAAGAACCCTATCAAATGTAAACACTTCAGAATGACGTGAGAAAGTGTTCATTTAATAGAAAAATGAAACTAGGAGAACTCTAAGATAACTTTCATTTCTCTCCTTATATCCAAACTTTTCTYGAGTCCTGTTCATATGAAATCCTTACATCTTTAAAGTATCGCTGTAGAGTTGTCAGTCTGACATCRTGCAGTGCAGCACAGGTATCCCAGGGATAGATCTGCTCCTCCTCAGTAGTTGGGAGCCTCTTTGGCTCAGTGCTGTTGCGGCATTGCCCCAACACTGTGGGAAGAAAAGCAGCAATACAGAATGGGGAACAACAGGCTCAACAATTACAAAAACCATCAGACAGCTTTGGTTTGTAACTATAATGTGCTTTGCTGATGTCAAAAAGTAAAAACTTACTAAAAAGAATCTAAATATTGAAAGTTCTGCTTTTGCACTTTTACATAAAATATATATATATACACACCAATACAGACAAATGCTCCTATCTACATGCAAACACATTGATGGCTGTTGAATTTTCTTTTCCTTCCAATACTGATTTTCCTGTAGGACTGTAATAATCTGCTGGATTTGCAAAAGCKAATAGAAGTAGGAGGGAATTAGACTGATTTTTCTTTCCCCAAACATTTAATAAGTTCCTTACGCATCTCACAGAGGACCATCCACAAAAAAAAAAAACAGGAAACCCTGTGGTTCCAGACTTCACGAAACACAACAGGATTTATGGACACATGCTAAAAGCTGCAGAAACACTGCTTTTCCTACATCACACATTCATACCTGAGGAAGCCTGTAATAGTACAACTAGCCCTGTAGGTCTGTCTTCAGTAGAAGGACCACTTTGTCCACAAATAACACAATCATATATTGCCTCAGAAACATGCTGTTCAGATGAAGCTACTTCCATGGCAATATCAGCATCTGGCGATTCTAAAAATGAAAAAGAAAATTTATATTAAACAGAAGTAAATTAATCCAATTGCATCTGCACTGAGACAGTGATAAAAAAAAAAGACAAAATAATTTCTCTAGTTATCTACAGCCAAAATTTTGTCAGTTGATTGAAACGAACCTTTCTGCTTCAGAGAAAGACACGTACAAAACAGAGCACATGTCTTTCCATAGGCAAAATTACTCCCTGTGGAATTAAATGCTTCATTCAAGTTTTGTATTAAACATGGTCTCTTTGAAACTTTTATAAAATAGAAATTTAACTTTATTTCATTAGATATTATAGTGAAAACTTTGATTATAGAGAGATGAAGGCCAATGGATATGAATTTCTGCTACAATCAGATTTGCTCATTGTTGACTGAAACAATTAGAAGGAAAAAGTTAACCTGTACACCTTAGAAATAATTTTAAGATACTCAGATACGGTGAATGAAATATGCAACAACAACAGAAARTATTTTTTTCACTATGAAACTTGGAAAATCTTTAAGAATTTGGGGTGCTTTAAGAAAGCAACAGCTGTGATGCTGCAGATGCCTAACGTAACATTTACTGTGTACAAGACATGCCAGAGATCTATTTTCTTAATAGTCCACATTCCTACTTCCTCGGTGCACAGAAAGGTTCAAGGCCAAGGACCAGCTCTGACATAKCAAAGCCATTGTACCTGACGTAGCTTTAATCACGTGACACTTGTGGTGCTGATTTCAGGGAAAGCCATTTTATGTTATGTTACAATCAAAGGTAAGAATTCTTCACTAGCTTGAAATAAAAGCACCTTAGGACTAAATGATCCACTCCTGACTGCTCAGGAACACATACAGTCAGCCTCTCAATCTAGAATATGTGGGTTCTTTGTGTCTTTCCTAGAAGATAATTCTTCCAAAGGAGAACACTTCCTCCCTGCTTTCARCCACACCCTTTATCTCTCTGATTAAGTAGGTCAAGGCACTGGATAGAGAATCCAAAGAACCTTGAGTGCAGCAACAGTCCTCATGCAGATTGCTTTTAGGAGAGCTGCTGTCTTCTGAAAGTCTACAAGTTAGGCATGGGAGGCTGCCAGCCATAAGGAGAGGCGTGTTGGGTGCCAGGCAGCGTTGTTTCTTTGCTGTAAAAAGCTTCATGCAATGCTTTTGCTCACAGGGCTGAATCAAAATGACMCCGTTTCAGTAACTGCTGATTTCCCAGTCAGTCATTGAGGTCATATGAAAATGAACCCTGATTCTCACTGACGAGCAGTTAATATTTTACACGTCTATCACCATCTAGTGGCAGCCARATGTACAATGAAAGAAAAAGCACAACGCATCAACTGCAAATGTCCAAAACATCCAGGAAACCTACAAGCAAACTGTAGCACAGAACGGAGGAAGTAAACACTAAATGCTACATTTTAATATTTAACATCACCTCATAACTGTGTAATGCACACTCCTGTGCACTTACATATCAAATGCAAGAAATGACAAGGACTAGTTTCAGCTTTCTTTTTTCTCTTTTTCTAAAATATTGTCAATACAACAGCAAATATGCATCCATCCAATATCTTTCAGAAGTGCAGAAAGAGAATACAGTGTATCAATCTGATTCTGAACAATTCAATCGTAGTAATCAAAATCTATCAATATTTAGTTTAMAAAATACCATTCATTCACCATAAATTGCATATTTTTAACCTGAGGGAAAAAAACCCCCAGAACTTACAATTTAAAACATGTTTAAAACCGCTTCAAYATATGTGATTTATACTTTTATTGCCTATGAGGAACAGGCACATAAAAATCAGGCTAATTTAATTTTAGAATTCAATGATCAAGCACATGCTTCCTTTACAACTACTTAGATGTAGCTGGCTACTCTGGCAAGCAATAGAATTTCAAGCACCAAGGAAGACTTCCTAAAAAATTATTTGCACCAGAGCTAGTGAAAGAAAATAAAGGGATATTGGCAAGAAATTTAAGCAGAGCAGAAAAACTCCAACCAAACAAAACTGCCCACTACTTTTTGAATAGACTCTGATAAACCTCAATTACTCACTTAAAATATCTCCAAAGATTTAATTGATTTCACAGAGACTTGTCCTAATGGTATCAATGTGTGTGAAAGAGTCAATGAAAATGCAAGGTAAGACACATGGTACTGGTATCTGTTCACCAAGTTTCTCCCATGAGATTTGTCTGCTGCTCTAATACACCTCATCCCCTTACAGTGGTTTCTGGAACGTCTCTTTGTCCTTGTGAATTATTTACAAATCTGAATAAATATGAACCTTAAAAACAGTGAAGGAGAAGAAAAAAAAAAAATTAAACTCTGACAGAAATCCAGGGAAGAACCAAACCCTATAGTTCCCAGGATTTTTTAAAAAGTTAATTATCTCTTTGTTTAGTTTCATACCAAAAGAAGTATAGATACAAAGTTCCAAAAACCTAGCACTTCCTAYCCACTAACAGATACTGATCAGTCTGCTAAAATCTAGCACACTGATGTACTGCAGAATGCATTGCTCCCTGAATTTAATTTCATTTCCAGTCTCCAGAGCTAAGGATGCATTCCATTATTTCCCCTACCCAGCAAAACCCCCAAACCAAAAGGGCCTTGTAAACACAGAAAAACATAATTCACAATCTCCACTGACTGCAGTCAACATTTGTCCTGCTGTACACACTGTGTCAAAGCGGCCCCTGGCTATCAAAGCAACCATTAGTATGCTAATATTCTTTGCCCTGACCCAGCATACATATTCTCAAGAGATCAGTACCTAATTTATTTTTCTATCTGGGTTCAGAAGATTTTGAGTGTTAGGAAATATGTGTCACCTTGCAATACTTAAGTCTAGCTAAGGAATGTTGCATGAAGGACAAAATGACATCCTGCGAAGACACACGTTGAAAGAAAGACACAAAAGATCATCTGCACACTTATCWGGATGCATTAAAAAAGTTTAAAAATCACACCGGGCACTTCAGAGCCAACAAATCTATTGAAGAAATGAAAGATACCTTAATATTTAGAATCAACAACCAATTTTCAAATTTTCTATATGGTAAGCAGTTCAGCAGCTTGCCTGGAATGGATCGTATTTTGTTTATATAAAATTCAGATAGACAGATCTTTACAAATACCATGGTAATTTGTTAAGGGCTACTACAAACCTAGAACTGAGTGGTTTAGTTTTGTTCTTATCAAGTACCTCCTGAAGTTTATGAAGTTTCAAAAATCTCTTGCACAGAGATATACCTCACAAGACAAACCATGGAGGCAGGGTCCTCTAAGAGCTCCCAGGAGCTATAACCAAGAGCTGTAACCAGGAGCTGGGAAGGCCTCTGGAGGTGAAACCAACAACACTTTTTTGACTCTCTGGACAGCCTCTTCAGACATTTCAAGAGCTCTATCTGCCCTTTTTAGAACGGTTTTCTTGGTTTATTTTTTTCCTTTTTTTTTTGTTTATCCTGCAGTCAAACAGCTAAAGACAGCACAGTGGATGCTGTTCTATCCTAGTTCATTAACATAACTGTTTCTAAATTTCACCTAATTACTTCCAGGCAAGCTTGAATGGCAATGCAGTTCTGCAGATGTCACAGAATATAAATAGAAAGTAACAGGGGCACAAATGGAAAGTGCTACATAATTGGATTTTTTTTTCTACAGTAACTGTGAAAGAAAATGCCAGCCTTCAAGAATCTCAGATGAAGTCGTGCATTTCAATTCAAATAAATAAATTCTACTGGCAAAATGAGACACATTTATTGTTGAATAATTAACATGTAACTAGGTAACTTTCTTTAAAGCCATGTTTCATTGCAGCATCCCAACAATGAAAGAACAGTGGAATAATCAAATTAACAGTGGACTCTGTGCACTTTATTAAACACTTTAGAAACAATGAAGTATGTGTTTTAATAAAATAATCTTCAAGCTTTGGCTATTSTCTCTTATTCCTATCCCCTCTTAGACACATTTGTTTTCAGAGTATTCTCAGTGTTCTACATGGTCAATAAAAAGGTATTATGTTTTTAAGTGCTATATACAAAACCAGCTACAGAGTTCTCACATTTTACCACTGAATCACATCTACTTTTCATAGTTAAAATTTTAAAAGATGATGGTGATAATAAYATAAATTTGCCCAAATGACACCAACTGAAACAGTGACAAAACAGGGGAGCTGAGGCCTCACCAAACCTGCATTTTTGACAGTATTATTACTGTTAAAACAAGTGAACAAAATGAAAAAACAAAMCTACTGCTGAACTTCACTCTTCAGTACAGTAATAGGCAACAGACTGGGTGTGAGAGTGGAATGAATTATGACTAATTTTAGTATGGAAGGATTTTTTTATTTTCAGATGGCTATTCAGCACTGCTATGCTACTATGCATAGGGTAAACCTATGAATTACTTAAGAATAGTTTTAAATTGAATCACAGCAGAAAGACTAGTTTCAGAAATCTTACTGTGTCTTGTGCTTTAAAACTAGAGTAACAATAGTTTCTGCAACATTTTCAGTAATTTTCTGTAACTTATAGAGACTGCATTCCCAACTAAACAAACCACTTTGGCTCAAAAAACTGAAGAAAATATTTAAAAAATTGGCAAAAATTAATCTAGAGTTTTAAGCAAACCCCATGCACTATAACAGTATACATGTACTTACTTTCTGCGAGTTATTTTAATAACAATCATAACATAAAAGCTAGTTAATATTGGACTATAGTACTAAATCAGAGTAATTTCATTAAAAAGTCAGATAATGGAATGACAACATAGAAGACACTGAAAACAATCAGTGAAAAGGCAAACTAATTATCAGTTAATACAATATCTGGATTTCTTTCAAGTTGTTCCCAAATACCTTTATGTAGAATAATTCTATGAAAATGCAGTTCCTTAAATTGATTCTATCTAGTACTGTGTGTGACCTGGTCTAACTGACAACAAATGTTACATTTGACACTGAGGCATCTGAAGTTATTAACTATTATTCTTCTTCTTGATGGAAGAAGGGGGAAGATTCTTGCTTTTTCTCATCTTTCAGAAATGCTGATTGACCCAAATGACAAAAATATTTTCTATTCCTCAGTTAAACACAAACTAAATTTAAAAACAAAATAATCAGGATTATGTGCTTCTACACAGCAGAATYTGAAAGAACTCAGCCTCAAGAAAAACAAGAAATGATTGTGCTGTAAAGCCAGTATTTGAAATAGAATACAATGTTATCACTTATAGGAACTGATGTTATCTAAAAATTATGCTTTCCTTAGATCTATAAATAAATTCGAAAGGCAAAACTTTTACCTGATTAAATTTTGAGACTCTGTAGAGAAATATTCTTAWATTTTATTATTACAGATAAAAGAAAATACAGTCTTTAAAAGACAAAACTAWTTTTGGGACATTTTATATTAAAAGCAATTACTTAAAAACATATCACACAATCATTTAATGTACTGCATATTAAGAAAAACTAGGAATAAATTTACAYCCTACAGATTAAATGTATTCTCTAGCAATTATGCATTCAGTGATATCTGTCCTACAAAACAAAGTTTAACTTCTAAAGAAGTATAAAGTTAACAAGTGATACAAAAGTAGAATCTGAGGGAAGGGTTTCCTGTTTGGYTGGGGTGGTTGATGTTTCACGTTTTTTTGTGTGTCTGTTTTTAAAACTGAGTAAAAACCTTAGTACTAACATGTGGGAGAAGAAATAAAAGCAAACAGTCAACCACGCAAAAACGTACCAACATCCATGGCAGTTTCCATGAAGCTTTTCTGCCTTGAGGCAAATTCAGCCAACAATTTCTGTTGCCTTTCTCTAGCCTTCTGTCGTCTAAGTGAAAGAAGGGGGAAGAAGAAAAAATAAGTATACATAATTGAGCAAAAAAAAAGAACTTTATAATGTTAGGCTGATTACAGTTATCACCTTAAACAGTATCACTCCAATTTAAGATTTACATAAAGGAATAACGAAAGAATAATTTCCAAGCCTAAAAAATGATATCTCTTGCTTTAAAAGTGGAGTTTTTTAAAAAGTCAGTGTTRCTTTCTTTTGAGTCTCTAAAAGCAGAATTAAATCCTGTCCTAAAACACCCTTCAAAAACCAAAGGATTTTTTTAACAGATTAGGCCATAACATGGCCAGAAAAGGAACCCAAGACTTTAGTCTTGAACTTTTGTATCTGTTACACATGGAAAGAAAAAGACAGTGCAATGCCATTTGTACAAAAACAAGCACTTCTGTGAGACACCAACATCTGCAAGTTAATAATAACAATAATAATAAAATCCTACCTCACTCCCTTTTGATATCAAGCTTAATGGCAAGGGAAACAATTATTCATAATTTATTTTCCAGCTAAGGCTCCTCACAGTGGTTCCTTCACCCTCTCTTCCACCCAAGATAGTGGCCACCAACACTTTTTATACTTGGATTTAAAGAACCTTGAGATTGCGTACAGATTTAAAGCCCTTATCTTCCTGAAGCCAAGTAGACTTCACTAACTTTTCTCTCATTGTCACAGCTCTGGATTTACAAACAGAAGACAAATGAGACTCATTCTTGTCTATCCTTCTATTTAAACTGTGTCAGTGACCTGTACAAGGCTGCATGACCAGCTATATAACTCCCTATATACAGAAYTCTCTATACTGCAGTGGGTAGAGGAATACTGATGAAAAATATAAAGAAAACTGATACTAATTTTCCTTACTTTAGCACGACTTTGACTAGAGGAAATAAGATAGTGAAAGGGGGAAAACCAAACAAAACCCCTACAGCACAGCTGCTCACCACACAGAACATGCCCTMAGCTGAGGGGTTCACACAGCACCTCCCCAATGAAGCCACTGAAGTTCTATCACACTGCAAATTCTGTGCATCAGCATTTACAAYGCATTTTTTTCACTGCTCACAGATGATTCAGATAACTAATATGGACTTTAAAAACATTACTTGGCATCTGATAGCCTGATGGGTGAGCCCTCTTCAGTCTCAAGCACTGTCTGATTATCAGTGTCCTGGCACAGGAAGTGGCATGCACAGGCCCACAGCAGCTCATGCAGTGTAACCTGTTATCCAGTGCAACCTGACATGGCCTGTTTATAAGCCAAAGCATCTAACTTGTTTTGTTAAAGACCCAAATATCTCTGCTCATTTATCTGCTACCTCATACAGTCACCATTTCTCAAAATAACTTCTATTTACAACATCACTAAGATCCATTATTCTGAGGATCAGACCAGGGCATTCATTACACTTGGTTTTATTTATTTCTCCCTGGAAATTTCTCAATAAACACCTTGACTAAAAGCAGTGACTGTAAATAGATGCATTTAATAAGAAGACATAAACAAACTCTGACAGATTCAGTACAGCTCAGTAATTTTCCATGATGGCCCATGGGAATATGACACTGCAATTGAAAAAATACTGCAAGCAGCTCAAGCTCGCTTTAGTTCTGTATTTCAGTTTCTATGGCAACAGTCCCTTGCCTGAGTGCTGCCATGATACACTGAAAAAAGGTGATCACTTAATGTGTACAGTCTGCTTAGTCTTCACTGATACAAAACCAGAACTGGAGGGAAAATTAAAACAAAGCAATCAAAACAGTAAAAAATACAGCATGTCACTTGATGAACATAGTCATTTCAGTTATCACAGTCCATTAATAAACTTCACAGGTCCACCAATACCTCTACAAATTTGAGAGGAAGATAATCACTCAGAACAATGAAGAATGGRAAACATTCGTTTTCATCATTGCTTTAGACCCCAAATTTAGCTGAAAACTTCAAGTGCCTCCAACAGATCCTTGAAAATATCACATCCTTAACAGGGAGAAAGGAATGACCTTACCCTTTTCTATATGAACAGTTACTTGTTTCATCAATGCCTGTGCATCTCCTGCACATAAATCTAGATCTACTGAGTACCACAACAATGATTAGGTGCCCAAGAAGTAGCTGTGTTTTATCTAAAGCAGTTATTCATTCTGCCTTGGTCTGATTAGCAATTTTACATGGTAAACCTTGACTATTTCTTTCATTGAATGAACTATTACATTACTATTACAAGAAGCAATGTTGAAAAYTAAATAAACACTAGCAAGACAGAAATAATTTTACTTCGTAAAGTATTGTAAMATATAAATATACTAAATCTACTTGCCATATTTTTATGTGTAATTTTCCAGAATAGTGTAGGTCTTGGACATATCAGAGAGAATTTAATGAAAAATTTATTTTCAAACAAATAAAAATAGCAGAAAATCCAGAAACCAGTGGAGTCAGATGACTGCACTTTTTCTACCCAAATTTCTAGAACCATAACTACATACTCTGGTTACATAAACCCTTCAAAATACTTCATGAACAAGCACTCGATCATCTTGTCCATTCCAGCCTGTGCTGTCACTAGTTCAGCTACTGTAATAAGTGTTCTGACCCCATTTCCTGGCCCCAACCTTCTAACACTATRCACCGTGCTCTCCCTTCCAATACCATGCTCCAGTCCTTTGCACAAGCCAAGAGTCACTCTCTTCCCACTCCAGACAATGCTTCTTTCCAGMTGAGTCCACATCCCCAAATGTCAATCTCTGTCTTACACTCCAGACATTTGCAATCCTATTCAACATTCTCCTTCTTCTACCAACTCTCAAGACCCCCTTCTTCCCCACTGAGATTTTCATTAAAAATTGGGTTATTTTAAATTTGCTACACTTCTCTGAGTATTTTTGTCCTGTTAACCCAGTTCTTCATTTATCTTCATAACATCCTCACTTGCCAGATGGAGTCATCCCACATCAACTAATCACTTGCCCTGGCATCYTCTCTTTTTTTCACTGGTACACTGACTATAAGATTTCTCCTTCCAGTCCCAGTTTCATAATCATAATCATAATCCCTGTCATTTCTAGTTTTCACCTCTCTTCTCAGCTCTTGTTGCTGTCCCCTAGGTGATTCCTCTTCCATAGGATTCTCATGCCAACAACAGCATTTGCTGAAAGTGGAAGAGAAGCAGGGACTCTGCTTTCAATTTCCACACTGCTMGTATTCTGGGGGCTCTCAGGACTCATTATGCCCCAAATTCAACTCAAAACTGTCCAAGCTTCTTCCCCAAAAAAAWTCAGCCCAAGACAGACATCTGGCATGTGGGTTTTCCGGCTACATAATAACAAAACACAAACTTTTAAAAAACAGAATTAAAAAAAATTTCAAAACATACTTTAAAAATTGAATGGGTCAGACAAGAATTATTAAACCCATGCATAGTAAACAAACCCCAAAACAATCACAGGGTGATATGTGCATGTGAATGAACAGACAATACTAATAAAAATCCTAATTTATCTTCAGGTTAAGCCACAAAAGCTAACACAACCTTAATTCTACACCCTTGCATGCATGAGTTTTATAAATGGCAACATAAGGGTGAACATGTATATCAATTAAAATTATTAAAATTTTCTAATTTAAGGAACTAAAAGAGCAAGGTGCAGATTCTTCCTCAGTACCCATGTAAATCATGTATATTCAAACCAGATAAAGAAAACTGTAGAATTAAGATTTATTCTTTTAGTAAGTAATTAACACAAAAAACTAAAGATCAATCAACAGATGCACAACATACACTGTCCTTTTACTGCCCCTTCATTTTGTAATTAATATTACCTTTCTTCTTTATCCAAAGTTTTCTTCTCTGCAGAACTAATCTTTTTTGGCGGTACAGGAGGTGTCACCTTCCTGCATATCTCTTCAATTATACGTTTGTTCAATCTGCTCTGTATAGCAGCTTTCAGTAAAATTCTTTCTACTGCTGTCATTCCATCTCCGTGAGAGTATCTTGGAATTTCTGGGTGGATTAAAAGATCCACATCATCCAGCCACGGGGGATAATAAGAGTTTTGTTTTCCTGAGAGTTTGTGATGCAATTTAATCAGCAAAGACAGTATGCTTTCCTTGACTTCTAGAATGGCTGTGGTTAACTGTGGAGTTGCACCGGGTGCCGACCATTTCATCGACGTTTTGGGCCGAACCACCTGATTTGCCTCGCTGGTGTTCCGATTGATGATCTCCTGAAATTTCTTTCTGCGTTCYGCGACCAAACTGAACACTTGAGCTGTCCCTGAGTTCTTGGGAAAAAAATTATCATGAATGGTTTGCAAAAATACAAGTATRAACAACATACATTTCTAAAACTATGAAAAATATTTGAAGCTAGGAAGAAAAGCATGAAAGAGATTCTTTTTTTTAGAGATTCTTCTCTGCTCCCAAAATCTACTGAAAATTAGGATAGTGAAATACTAAACCTACATATCGTACTTTTATACAAGTCTCTTATATGTGAGTGCATAAAAAGCCAAGTACTACATGAAAACCATCCATACCAAAACAATTAACAACTGGTTTTACTCTAACTTACAATTCTGTTATCCAACTAATATTTCCTTAGTTTTTTTACAATAGTAATAATTTCAATATCTTTATGTCATTTAAATGCCTTTATTCAAKTGTGCTGAGCACTGTTGCACAATGTAACTCAAAATGTCACACAGGTGAATCCAGGTGAGGCCACACATGCCCATGGGCATTGCTCATTTTGTGTGGATTCACTAGCTAAGATCCAGAAGCCACAAACTCCCATTTGCCAGCAGAACTTGCTATCCAGGGCACATGAGCATATGAGTGCAGCTTCATTAATGACAGAGYCTATTTAGATCTCTCTATCTTACACTACTCTTGCTTGCAGTACCAAACTAAGGATCCATATACCAAATCCCCAGCAGAAAAAGATTTTTTCAATGTTTTGAACACACTAACTGAAATTCAGCACACTAACATCTTACCCTCTTCTAAGAAGGCTGGGCAATTAACAGATATCAAATACTTCAGACATCAAATATAAAAATGGGATTCTGAAAACCATCTCACCTACTTTGTTTGTTTTAATCTATTTCATGTCATCTCCCTACTTTTAGAATTTGTCTGTTTTTCTGACATGAACACACAAAAGAAATACCAATTGTATTTCACTAATCTGGCTCACAGTTATCTGAAGTACTGTACATTATAGATATAAAAGCAACACTGACACAAACGTTATAGCATCTACCACCTATCAGTCTTTCAGGATCCCACCATTTACACATTCCTTTGATAYGTACAAAAACAACAACAAAAAATTGCTCTTTAATATTTCAAATGCAATTTCAATGTAAGGTTAAAGTTACCTAGACTCAAGAAAGCTAAGRCTATTCTACATTATTATATGTTAGTAGTATCTTGGCAAAACCAAACAGGTCTAAACACAAAGCTCAAGCAGTAAGCTATTGATGACATTTATATTCCATAAAAAGTTTTCATTCACAAATCCTTATTAAAAATGTAAAGGCATTTTATTGCTTTAAAGCCTACTACTTCAGATTAYGATCAAGAACATGAGAAAAGCATCAGTCCTTGCAATATGAATTAAGGAAATTCAGGAAAATTAGAAGATTCCACGGAATGTTAATGTGAGCACAATTAAAGCCATGTTGCTAGTTAATCGCTTAGGAGAACAAACTGCACACACATCTACCTCTCTCTGGAGGCTCTTCCGCCTTGAACTCTGGTAGATTGAGGACAAAAAAAGTCATTAAATACATCATTTGGAAGGAAGTATCATTTGAAATAACTTCTAMAAAATATCCTAGGAAATTCATGAAAACGGTAACAAAACTTAAAAAAATGCCAACACAGGCAATAACCTAAATTAGCCTAGAAAATCTAGCATTTRTATCTACTTACTTGTGATGAAGCTAAACCGTCAGAACTTGTACTTGCAGGTGGTTCTCTCTTCACCTCAGGAGCAGTTTCTGGTACTCTTACTCGGACGTAGTTAATGAAGTGACGCATGTTAGAAACCAAGTTACTACCTGGAAACCAACTATCATGGCAGCGCTCTTGTCCACCTGCAGATTCCTAAAACAATTAAGAAAACTCTAGTATACTTTCTGTGATGTAGTAAAACMATTTGTGTTGCTTTTGTAACTGTATTACAAAGGCCATAATACCTCCATGAGATAGGAAGAGTATGCTGAACATTATATACCTCAACAAAGCTAATATAACTCTCATAAAATTTACATGTTAAGTACACGAGTSTAAATAATTTATTTGAATATAATCAAATACAGCCATTAATGCTAGCTAGYAGAAGTGAAAGGAACTCCAGAGAGTAATCCAAAGCTGTGCAATCTAAGATTAATACAAAAAGTCAGAACTACACGGAAGTCAATCTCTGCAAAAAAAATGTAGCAACTCTTAATCGAAAAGCAGTGTTGATCAGTTACAAAAACTATGGTAATATAAGGGAATCTGGAATCACAAAAATAATGGCCCTTTATATTCAAATGTCATCAAAAGTAGAATTAAAATTCGGATTAAATCACATATTTTAGAAGATTTAGAACCTTATATACTTTATATACTTATATTTTTATTACTTATATTGTTCCCTATAAAAGTAAATAAAGACTCTTTATTCTAACTCCTATGGTAAAATCTAATTTYAAAGTATGTTGAATCATTAAACAATGAATTTGAATTTTGAAGAAAAGTTGGTATTTATTCTTACCTCTTCATCTGATTCTTGTTCAGGAGAATTTTCCAGCCCCAGCTCAATCAAATATAAAACCATGCAAAGCACATGCTCTGATAAATTCTGATGATCCATCAATATCTAGGTAGCAAAAGAGAATATCACRTCATAGAAGATTAAGGCTTCAGTACATCTAACCCTTAAAAAGAGTGTTCTGCATAACACATTTTAGAYGCTTCAGTTTTTGTGGGAGTTGTTTTGTTTTGCTTTTTTAAAATTTGACTAAAAATTGATTTAAAATTTAGAAAAAACATAACCTTTGATGATCACCACAAAAGAAAAATTTAATTTTACATCTTTCCAATCAAACAAATTTGTCCCTTAAAGTTGTAACTAGCTCAAGCTGTGATTTACTTTAACACCAGAGTGGCAGATGAAGTTTCATAGACACCACTCCTGCCAGTTCCATTCAAAGAGCCCCCAGCCTCTCTCCCCTTTTCCTGTGGTCAGTCACCAAAAGGCCTCCCAAGGCCCTAGTCCTATAAGTGGTGTCAACATAACTGGGAACACCATAAGGGTTAACATTAATTTAGTTCACAACCACCTTCACATAATCTTTTTTAGTTACAAATAATAAATGACCTTATCTTTAAATTAATAAATGGCCATATCTTTCTTCTGACACAGCTTTCAATGCATTGAGGGGAAGAACCAGTACTGCTAAAATTAAAAACCAGGACAACTTTYCTCTTGAGAACATTCTGAATCAAAGGAAAGAAAATGGCAAAAAAATGCAAGTTACCAAAAATAGTAGGTGAAAAATGTTTAAAATGTCATTGTAGACAGGTTACTATACAAGTTAGTATTTTTAGAGTGTAGCCTAGTAAAATTTTAAATATGATTTGGTTTTGAATGGATGAATTTTCTAAGTAGATTAAAGCCACTAGGACCATCAGAGAGAATAAGTTCTTTAAAAAAGCTTTTCTAAAAAACAGTAGAGCAGCTGACTWAATGAAACCCAATCAAATCTGAGATGACAAGAGTTTGATTTAATCAAAAAGGGAACTTGGYATTATGTTAATATGAAGAGCATGCGCAATTGTACCAGTCGGAATCAAGTCATATTGACCAGTGATTCTGAAAAGTAACATCACCAGATATAATCCACTCTTCTTCCATAGGAAGTTGCAAAAGCCAAAAGATACAATAAAGGCCAGCATAAATTGGCAGCATTTCACAAACAGAGCAGACATTATTTAAGCCAACCCACAGAACCAACCACTATGTATTTTCCACCATCCATAAATCTGGTGGAAAAGTATTTGGCATTCCAGCTAAAACTGCCATCCAATAATGGTTAAGATTCTAAAGATTTAAGCCTTTGAAGATTCTTAATGGACAAAGAGAAAAAGTGGCCAAAGACCCCCCAACAAGACAGTARAAGATGATTCATTCCTTCTCTATATTCTCCATTTTTTCTTCCATGTCAAAAATTATTTGATCYTCTACATAGTCCCAAGCACTCCCTTCCTTCACCAGCCTTCCTGTCWTACAACAGGTATTTTCTATTGAACAGAAATTTAACAGTGAARCAAAATACGAGTTTCAGGTAAGCTGGGAGAGCTTAAAAGAGCACAAAAGGAAAAGTCTGCCCAGAAAAAACACTACTCAAACAAAACCACTTTTTATAGTCCCTCACCTGCCTCTGTAGTACACTACTTTGAAAACACTTTGTACTTAGAAAGACAGAGTCAAAGTCCACTTTCTGGTTAATGGACTTTTCAAAAATGATGGGCTGCTCTTAAAGACAGCAGCCAAAGATGAAACCAAACATAACTTATAGGCACCAATTAGCCCTGAAAAACAATTGCTATAACATTATCAAAAGCCAGAATATATTTTGGAAGTGATGTTAGAAACAATTGCACTTATGAGACTTCTTTGACGTTGAGGATCTAAAGCCATCAAAGTTATGCATCTTTAAACACGCACTGCTGGTGCCTTCACATTCTGTAATAGGAGCCCAAGAACACCACTCACGGCACTGTGCTCCGTAAAACCATCATGGAAGAACAATCTGAACAGCAGCTCTTTGCTTAAAGTAGAACAGGATCATTCACACACTTGGGTACTGACTTAGTGCGTGTATAYACGAAATAATCGTTCATGAAATAATCAAAGTGGTAGGAAAAAACCTCATTGTAGACTTAAAAAATACAACCAAAACCATTATATAAAATTGAACCTGACTACTCCAAATAAACTTTAAAAAAATCATACTGCTAAGAACATTTGTAAAAACATGGAAGTAAACCAATGCACTTAATGAGAATCATGACTCTACCTTGTAAAGAAGTGTGAAAAGCACRATGTGCAGGGTTTTACAGTGCAAAAGCTTTATGAGACCTCTGTAACTTGGGTGTAGTGGTGTTCTCTTCTTGTAAGGAGGCCACGGGTTTCCAGGGAATTTGCCACTTTGCTTTAAACTGTTGAAACAAATGTTAAATGTTGAAAGTACTTTTAAACACTGCAATAATGTAGACTTCTGCCACTGCTAYAGATAAATTTTGCTTTGTGTACCTAAGAGTAAAATGAATAAAAATARGTAAGACTCCTTCAAATAAGCTGTAACTGATTTTTAAAAACTATCTTTGGTTGTGATATCTGTGATGACATTCACTACATTTTATGCAGCCCTTCAGATGTATTTTTAAACATTTATGGAAGAGTAACAAATTAAAATAACCCACATACCCTGATATTGCTTGTAAATTTAGTGTCACCAGGTAGTGAAAACAAAAAGACTGTAGTGGAAATGAGCAACAATAAGATGTTGCATTTCTAAAAATGATCCAACTTACAATGCTGTGTATCTGTCCATTGCAGACTGYACATCTCTACGGTAAACTGTTCGAAGTATCACCATGACAGGGTCAAATTCCTTATCCCAAACTTCAGCTGTGGTTCAAAAGAAATCGCATGTTAACATTCTCTTTAAAGACCTTACCGCTCATTCCAGTTTTCTTCTTAACTAGCTTTAATTATGTCACTTCTATTATATCWTTTTCTCCATCAAACTAGAGCAATTTATAATAATTCTTACTAATAATACTTTGTATATTAATAATTGCCAATATTTATCAAAATAGGAAAATGCTTTTTGTGAAATTGTAATTGGTTTCAAAACAAAAAAAAATAACACACTATTAAGCAACCCCCAAAACATCTTTTCTGTATGCATCTTGTTTTGCTCTTTTTCATTTTCAAGTACATGTAAGAAAAGGTTGACATTATTTTTCACTTGGTACATGATATCCCTCTTGAAAGTAAGAAATACAGACTTTGAAGCAGTAATCAGTAGATAATACTTTGAGTGTAGTGAACAAAATTGCTACAACATAATTTTGTGTTCAGTATCAAAAATGGTCAAGCTTTGTATCAAATATTTCTGATCAATYCTTTACAAATATGCCTTTGTTTCATAACTAATATCCATGCATTATTTGAGCATTAAAATCTTATTTATATCTATTTAATTTAGTAGCTCTAAAGTGACATCCAGATCAGCTTTTRAGCAATCACACATAGAAAAGTCTAAACAGTGTGTAAAAATATCTCATTTAACTGCCTTTTTTTTCCTATTTACAAGTTATTAAAAAACAACTATGTTCCAATCTAAAGCCAAATGAAGTCATCAATTCCATTAATTGTTTTGAAGTGTTTAGCTCTCWCAACACAAAAAAAATGAAGGCAAGATTCAATGACCTCAAAACGAGGAAGAAACCCAGTGGATACAGAATTTTAGCTCCACCAGCAGGCGTAACACAACACAGGGGCTTACAACATTCTTCAAAGTTTCCAGAGCCAGAAATAAGCAGCKTTACCACACTCCTGAGATTAATTTTCCCCAGGCAGGAAGACATGCATCTCTACTCCTATGTAGCGGTCTCTGCTCTATATATTAACCCATGCTAAGATTAACAGCTCTACAGATATCCTCACAGACTGCTGAGAGAGAACACTTCGTAAAGGTTCCATTATGTATGAAATATGATTAAATTTAGCTTGTGAAAWAAAAGAAGAAAAATTCTGGACAGAATTTAGTACTGCAATCTGAAACACACATCAAGCTTGCTTGGGCTGCTWATGCATAATGAGAAAAAAGGACTGAGTGAACCATACACTGTATGGTGGAAATGCACACACAGCTCATCTTCAGCACACAAAATACAGAGTGTAGAAAGACATTGGTTTTGGAAGTTGGTTTGGGATGGCTTTGTTTTTTTTAAATGATTGCTAATCGAAGCAAAATTTAGGGATCTGCAAACATAAAGTAGATTCCAGCCCCCTCAAATTTAGGGAAACAAGGGAATAGAGGATTAGAGGGAATGGATTGGATCATGACTTGCTTTGTTGTGACTGGCCACGAACTACAATTATTAAAAGCAAAGGGTTYGTGAATCTATGTAGTCTTACAGAGAATATGAACACTTAAAAGGTAAAGAAAGCTATGTCAGCTTTTATTCCTGCAGAAGATTTTTCAGCTTTTATTACTTTAAGAAAAAGGCARTCTGAATAGTGTTACAAATCACTTCAATATTCATGGCTATAGATGAGATACTTAACACAGTTTACCTCTGGAATAAATTGTTTACCTAAGTAAAAAAAAAAAATCTAGATACAAAAAGCCTCCAGACATTGTAATCTAGCATTAGATTTCTTAAATATGAATTGTTATGATTTAAGAAAGCATAATCTGATCTCTTTTTTCTTCACACTGTGTTATGAAAAAGACCAGCATGTCATAAGCTCCAGAAACTAGACATAAGGAAATGCAGTTCACATTACAYAAAAATAAACTTATTTTAGACAMATAGATGTTAAGCTGCCTAATTATAYATCAAGGAACTAATGAATCAATTCCCAAAACTCTGGCTTCATGGAATTACTTCACTAGTTGTTCATTTGTATAAAAAAGCTTTACTGACACATGAATCCTCCAATACAAAAACTGGCAMACAAGTTATTACAATATTAGTGCCCATCACCTCTTCCCCCCAAAAAAATCCACAAAAGATTATACAAAATGGTCAGACTCTAACCTTCCCAGTTCTCAAGGGAACTACGTGGGGGAGGAAGGAGTTAATCCCTCTTCAGCTTTGCATTAGCCTCAAGCACAATCAGAGCACATGGAGCATTTCAGATTTCTACAGACTTATCTGCTCAGTGACAGGAAACACTAATGGAACACTGAGTTCTTAATTTCTTTCTCTCCTTTGATATACCAATGCTGTGCTGAGTTGAATTTAGATGACAAGCTGGTCAGGGAAAGAAACTCGTATTTTTGCACTGTATGCACTGGAGAATTATAGAGCWATATTCTGTAACAAGTCAAGGCCTGAACTTTTTTCTAGACCCTCTCTACTGACATCAAAAAGTGTTATAGGATACCACTATGGTTAAGCAATATAAAGCAATTATGTATCACAATATCTTCATTAATCAAAAGGTGGAAAAGTTCAAAGAAAGTATCATTGCAATTGACATTTCACTAGTGTAAACAGTTTTAAACTCTACTATATATACATCAGATTTATGTAAAACAATTTACATAAATTAGTCTTAAAATAATTAAGTGTGCAAATCAGTAAAATACAAATAAGATTTTTTCATTCTCCATTTTCCTTTGCTTTTTGAGGGTACCTGATCAATATGAGAAGYTCATTTTCACTCTAGATCAAAACCAATTCACTAAAGACTATTGATAGTCTTTAGCAATGCTCTTACATATAAGCAATAGACAATAATGAAAACGTCAAACAAGTTTTGTGGATTTTGGTGGTGGTGGTATGTTTGGCTTTTTCGTGGGGAGGATGTGGTGGGGTTTTCAACACTGGTGGGTTGCATTTCAGTTTCGGGTTTTTAAGGAAGAGATCACTAAAACAAAACCAAACAAAGTCTGGTCAGGCATCTCACCAATGAGTACAACACAAGAAAACACTGACTAACATACCTTTAGGTGTATACATCCCTTGCTGCATGGAACCTCCAGGTTCAAAAACAGGGGCTTTAAAGTCAGCAACTGATGAYAGGACTGATTCAAAGCTTAAGCTCCCTGGAATAATACCACTTTTAGGATTGGGGTTTTCTGGAATGTAATGTTTGTGTTAAGGAAAGCAAAGTTAACTTAGTTGCAGGACATAGCATTTCACTCCCCTCTTGACATTTTCAGTCATTTCAGACCACATCTCAGCAGTGCTCCATGCTTACCACAAGAGGTCTGTATGCTCTCACTGCTAGGAACAGTAACTAAYACTAAAGAGAATCTACCTCTTCTAGCTAGGACATTAAACATTTTAAAGCAAGACTTACTTCATGCTTGGCTCAAGACATTAGCACTTAATGAGAAATAAAACCTATTATCTGTGGTGTATGTAGTTTCTGGAATTGCCTTTATTTGCAAACACTTTACCTCTCTTCTTGGGAAGATTATTTTGCATTTACAGCTAAGTGCAGAAAAAGCAAGCAAATAGTTCAGGATCCATAAACATAGTAAGTAATTCTGCATCTGGGATAGTTCTTTTTGGATTGTTCTCCTTCTGGTAGTAATACCTAACTGACCTACAGACTTTACCCTAAAACACAAGCAGCACTTACAAGTAAATAAGCTTCTGCTTAGTGGTAAGAGATTACTTATATAAATGATTCACTTATTTTACATAGCTAAGTCATTCASTTAAGTGAATTGTTTTAAGTAATCACTTATTTTACATACTTAAGTGACTGGGTTACTACATCATATCATACTAATTATTAATTCTTATTATGTATTTGTTACTTTCAATCTCTTCCTTTACCATCTTCATTTTCTTAGTATTTTTGTTCAATGCCTACCCCTGGATTGCAAGCTCTTTATGCAACCACAACCAGCTATTTAATTTGCTCACACAGCCTAAGAGTGACAGCAGTAAAACCTTGTATTTGTAGTCAGCTGTCCAGGGACATGAACTGTATGTCTGTGCAGAGGGACTTCAACGTAGAGTTTGTTATTCTGCTCCCCATAACACATGCACTTCACTCTAATGTCAAAGCAATATTTGGAAGTGCTATTATTTGCATTTTCAGATACTGATAGCAAAAGCCAATACAACACACGTTTTACCTCACACCCAAAAGACTTCTGCAGTGTTAGAAAAATAATAAAAAGACCGGTATGGTATTTTGTATCAAAACTAATGTAAATTATTAAAAAGTATTATATTTAAGAAAAACCAAAATTGGAACAAATGCTTTTGCTAGCAAGTATATGCAAACACACCTTCACACAGTTCAATAATGTAAGCTACAAAAACGTTGTTCAAGCTGCACTATTCAGTCACCTGTCATTCTCAGTCATGCACATTAGCTAATATATTCCAAGGATATGAGATCCAATAATGAACTGTGTGTCCTGTCATTCATACAGAGTTGGGCTACCATCTCCGCTCTGAGGATCTCATCATCTGTCATGCCTAGGACAATGAAGTGTAAAAAGATGTTAAAATAGCACCATTTTAAAACACACATTCAGTTTTCATTTGACGTTAAAAGCATGTCAAACAAGATACAAATTAAGAAATGATACAGTGCTATAAAAATACAGGAGAAAAAYGGGGTTGTGCAAATGTTATGAAAGGCACAATTTCAACCAGAAAATACAAGTACAAACTCAAACTGCTGTCTTTCTGAAAAAGACACATAAACTTCATGTGATCACCTACACAAATCACCCACTTCCATTAAAGCCATTTTTCTGCATTTCTATGCATTATGTCTATTTCTAATTCATAGGGGATTAGAATTCAGTTACTGGCASAGATGAAACCAAGTGTTGAGTGCTTAAGTTACTATATGGGTAAACAGCTTTAAGGCAGCTATCATGTGCTGAATATAAATGAAGGTGTAATAATATYATATACATACCAGTATTCCTAAAGCAGTGACTCTTACCTAAATGTAAACGAAGACTCAACAAAAGGACCAAAAAGGTTAAGGCTCCTTCCAGCATGGACCTTTCGTGCTCTGAGTCAAGAACAGTATTTTGATGCTGTGATGCCATCGTTAACAGATCCACCACCTTAAATCTGCACAGCAAACAGTAAAGTCAGAAACATCATTCTCCAACATTGAAACACCAATGTGAAATGTACTGATAAACTCAGGATAGCACTCACAACAACCTAAAATGCAATACAAAAGCCCAGATGAAAAGCCTCTCTTTTTTAAATTTTGGGTTTTATTTAACTATCTATGGAATGTGCTATAGTGATATTCACTCCAYATGAAAGCACCTTATATTTATCAATATATAAAGACTAATGCATATTAATCAGTTTTCAAACTCTGATTTTTCTTTCCAGAAAAGCAAACGTCCTGCGTCTCTTACTATTGCAGCTCTATTTATCTACTTTAGGACAGAATATCCCAGCACATGAATGTGTATGAAACTTAAAAGCCCTAAAGATGCTCAGAAAACAAATATCTGAAGCTTTACTACTCCACTGTAAATCAAAAGCCAATGCTGTTTCTAATCAAAAGTTATTTGTTTCAGTAGAGCCCTTAGGTAATGTGGTTTGGCTAGGCCGAGTTGTACCACTGAAGGTTTGATATGTATCAGATGCACAATTTTTCTATTACACGCTAAAAATTAGACGACGGCTAGCATGACATTGAACAAGAGTATTCATCTTTTAAGTCCTACCTTTCAAAAACAGATGAAATAAAATAATCTGGGTCTAGCCTAGAGGCACAGACCTGTAGAAAAAGAGTAAATTAATTTTATTAAATTAATTATATTCAATACTTTGTTGTAAATAATTTTGGCTTGGCTTCTCAGAAAACGTAACTTACTTGCAGCAGATAAATGTCAGGATCAATCATTGAATTGCAGAAATGAGACTGCACGTAAGTCATAGCCTGGCCTTTAATTTGTAGACCATTTCTAACCCACATATTGCTGTGAATTTCAGAAAGACTTGCCTGTTCAGGGAAAACAGAGTTATGAACATTTCAGGGGTGTTCAGCTACTCAGTTCAGTGTTAGCAGATCATCAGTATATTATCATAGGAAAACAGAAATCATAGAACAGTTTGGATTGGAAGGGACCTTAAAGATTTCCAACCCCTATATGGCACATGGCAGGGACACATTCCATTAGACMAGTTTGCTTAAGGCCCCATTCACMCTGGCCCTGAACACTTCCAGGGAYAGGGCATCCATGACTTTTCCAGGTAACCTGTTCCAGTATCTCACCACCTTCACAGTAAAGAATGTCTTTGTGATACCTCATCTGAACGACTCTCCTTCAGTTTAAAGCCATTGCCCCTTGTCCTGTCACTACATGCCATCGTAAAATGTTCTACTGAGACTTTCCTGGAGAGTTGTGGAATAGTTTGGATTGAAAGGGCCCTTTAAAGGTCATCTRAGTCCAATCCCYCTACAATGATCAGGGACATCTTCAACTAAGTCARGTTGCTCAGAGCCCCATACAATCTATCGCTGGATGTTCCCAGGGATGGGGCATCTACCACGTCTATTGACAACCTGCTGCAGTGTTTCACCACTCACACAGTAAAAATGCTGCTACAGGCAATCTGAMTCAACCTATTTCAGTTTAAACCCATTACCCTTGTTCTATTGCAACAGGCTCTGCTAAAAAGTTTGTCCCCAGCTCTCTTGTAGGCCCCTTTAGATGGCCACTCTAAGGTCTCCTCAGAGCCTTCTCCAGGCTGAACAATGCCAATTCTCTCAGTCTGTCTTCACAGCAGACGTGCTCCAGCCCTCTCATCATTTTATTTATTATCATTACACACATACATACATAGGTGCTACAACCATAGACTTTTTTATACTRATTTACTTCTCCTGGAGAGTGAGAGATGAAGAGAACCACTGCACGTTTATRAAATAGATAACATACTTGCATATGAGAGCACATTTCAGACAATGAAAATGATCAAAGACAAATGAATTCATTTACACATGTTATTTATTAAAATCTTGAAACGTACTCCAGATGAAGGTATCATGGAACCAAAATGAACCAAAAATTAATTCTTCATGGTTAAAAAGTGTCAACCTGCACTCCATTCTATTCACATTACAATTCTATGCTTTCAAAGGATTGGTTCCTCCTACCATTTTGGAAATGCTTTAGTGAWTATTATTACTGCATGCTTCTCAGAGTATAACTAATGCCACATTTTTAATTTTAGAAACAGGAAGGGAAAAAAAAAGACTAAAAAAAAAAGTACCCTAACTACTTGGTATAGTCTAGTTCTTATTGTCCCATATTGATTATTTTATATCCCACAACTGAGACATTCTTCCTATTGTTAAGTCAGAAGTCTGTCCATACCTGAATCTGAAGTGGGTGAATCATTAGTTTCATCAGCATCTCCTGATCTGGCAAGATAGTATCCAGATCTAGTTCTTGGCATTTAACAGCCTAGAAACAAAAGCAAGCACACGCTGTACTGAATGATCACATTCAACAGGGAAATTCCATCTTCTGTAAAACTATACCATGTGCTTACCTTACTTAAAAACATGGCAAAGTATCGGTGCAGTGGCAAATGAAAAGTAACTTGGTTAGGCGCTGGCTGAAAGTAAAACAAAGGTTTTTAATATAATWTATTGAAAACACCACACAACTATCTTTGGCACAACCACCAAGAACAGTATCTTATATGYCTTCATTTCTATGTCTTCATTTGATGCACTTACTTCCCACTAACCTAGTRGTGCTTCATTCTGTCTTTCTGATTATTTAGACGTTTTCCTCAGACAGTTGTAGTTAATTTCTTATTGARTCCCCAGAAGCKAATGGCAYTCTAAATGGACTGAAGCACTGCTTGCCAAGTGGCAAAGCTGCTCCCCATTACCAAAGCAAAAGAGGACTTCTGTTTTGCCAKTGCTTCATTAAGCTCTTCATTCAGCACAACAGTAATGTATCCATAGCACCCCTTTTAAAACTCACACACCYAAAGCTTGCACCCTCAAAGCTAAATCACCAAGACTCTACAACAAAAAAAAGGATCCTAGGACATAACATGGTAAGTATTAACTACAAACTCTAATTTCAGTAAGGTAATCACTTTGATCACCTCTTGATTAGTCATTTAATTTAAGAGGAGGGGGCTGAGCATAGGGAGTTTATCACGTCTGTAATTTAATCAGATTTTCACAGTACTTTGCTTAAATTCACGAAGAATATTTACCTCATCTACAAAGTTGATAGCATCAAACCAGTCCTGAAGCGCTTCGAGGCAGTATCTGACAACGTTGCGTGTGTATTCTTGTGTTTCCTGCAGTTGAGAGAAACCAGCRTACTATATGAGCCAAAACAATTTTAAGTGTCATTGTTTTCCTACTACAAATAAAGGACTGTTTCATTGTTTCTCTAAAGGATGACCATTCCAGTGCTGGGAATTAAGGCACCTTCAGAGCAGCCAACTGGATCCAGTGCCTACTGTTGTTTAATTTATCCRTTTACTTTTACCATTATTTAGAGCTGTTAGAACAAAAAAAAAAAGTCTTTCCATGCAACCAAAAGGAATACCTAATGTCCTGCAAGTTTTATCTACTTAAAAGGTCCATACAGTTGGCTAACACAAAACACCCTGATACCTGATACAAAATGATATGACATCACAATACYGGATAGATTTTAACAGTAAGCAAACCCTGCTACAATTGTATGATATAATTCTATAACAATGCCACAAAACTACTGTATYTCAGGTTAAATCATGTAAAGTCAAAAGTTGTGCAAGTGGCGACTACTTCAGTCAGGCACCTTTTCTCATCAGGAAATACAACAGCCATGCTCCCATCCTGCTGCTCCACTCTCTAGGAGGGCCAGGCTCTGCTGGCTTTTCCTATCCTGTGAGACATGAGCTGGAATYTCTTCCTACCCATCAGGTTTCACTAAGTAAATACAATAATTAAGCTATGAAATTTCTTGAACACTTCCAGATTTATTGAGAATGATCAAAAGGTTCAAACATGTGGCTGAAGACATAACTAACAAGACAGCCTTAGAGGAGCATGGCCTTAAAAAGAGAACATCCCATCCCAGCCCTAAAAAGAAAGGAACACTTCGAACAGCCAGAGGTTGTAATTCAGTTTTCAAAAACTAATGTAGACTCATAAGCTGACAAACTGATAATGCATCAGGTAAATTACATCATGGAAAGGCTTTTGCAGCTGCCTGTTCTAAAATCGCATGGAATGTTTGTGCAGTTTTCCAGTGCGCAGTTCAATTCAGGCAGTACTGGCTCATTGACACTATCATGTATCTTAATAAGCTCATTTCTAATATAAGCATTTATTTCATAGAAAAACAGTAAAAAGTTTTTTCAGATGTTAAGTATTCCTAAAACTTGATGGATTCTATTTTTGCTATAATTTAATGTAGCAAACAGCAACAAGTCTTTGCTCTAGTTTGGAGACCWTGAGACATGAAACATCAGAACTTTCACCTCAAACTGACAGAAGAACCACATAAACCTGTAAMTTACTCCATCCCCCATCATAATGAAGTATGTATTTGCCAACATTAGAACCACATTRGGACAACTTACGTATATCCATTCCCACTGAACAAATGACTCAGAGACATCTATCAAGTTCTTCATTAGATTAGAATTTGTTCTAATGAAATGACTGCACACACCTGAACTTGTAGGCCCAGCACTGGAGACAACAAGTGAAGTACAAGCATGAATTCTACACTCACTATACACAGAATCTGAGCTGGAGCTTTATTTGATTTAAATAGACAAAGACAGGAAAATCTAAGTCTTTTCAAACAAAAGACAGACCTTTCCCGTTTCAGAATTCTCAGATAAGTAATGAATAAAACCAAGAATCATGACAGGGAAATGTCAGCCTTACCCTAACTTTGCAGTGTGACAGAAGACCCCACATTGGCTGGGCACACGCTTCCAGCTCAGCAGCAAAGGCAGCATAGTACGTCTGCGATTCAAACTCCACGTGCTCATTTAATTCTCGTTTATTTAAATTCATACCTTCAAARATTTAAGCAGAGTTATACAACCTAAGATTTAACTAGGGCTAAAYGGAATGCATTATTATTAGTATTATGCATTTACACACCTCTAAAAACAACTCTACAAAGGTTAAGAATCTATTTTATCTAGCAGCAGAATATGTGGTAAAACACTGGAAGAAGCAACAAAGTGAACAGAAATAAACCAGAAAAAAAGAGTGGCTACTAACTGCCGTCCTTGCTGTTTGGGGGATATTAACTTCTACTTAGAATGTCACTTCATTAATCAGAACATCTGAATGCTGGTCCTCTTTCTAACCAGAACATTTATCAGTCTTGAGAAGAACACCATTTAAATTTTTTTATATAATAAAAAAAAATTATTCACAGAAACACTAAGAAAAAGATCCATATTAACCAGATATTTCCATATATTTAAATTTAGAACTTCACCAGTGTAACAGTTTGTTTTATGGTTTTGATCAGTATTTTAAGTACAATCTCAGAAYTCTTGCACCATGAATTTCAGTTGAGTAAGTGTGATGTGACTGCTCTTTAACCACTTCACACAAGACAAAGATGCATCAGATAATTTTTGTAATCTGTTTTCTGGAATATACTGTTCTCTTCAAGAAATACAATCTTAAGGGAATACTAAGAAATATTTCCATACACTATTGTAGGGATTTTGCTACTCTGAACATTAASCTGTCTTAACATCTTTAATTAGTACTGATTAGAAAAGTCACATACCTTGAAAAAATGATACAAAATTCATCCATGTTACCAAAAGACCATGATCTTCCAAAAATTTCTTTGCCACACTTTGGTGTGAAAGTATGTTTATAAAATCACTAACCAACGGCCAGTAAGTATTATTCTTCAGTAGTGCTTCCCCACAATTCACCACAACATGTAAACTATTCTCTTCATCTAGATTTAAAAAAGAAAAAGCAAAACAAAAGGAGAAGACCAAGTTTTTTTTTATTAATAAAACTACAAAAGAAACCAAATATAATAATTAGAGTGTATTGTAACACTGTGGCCAGACACACAGAGAAAACTGCAGAAAGAAAAATGGTTTTTTTGTGATACCTGAGGCCCTTTTTCCACCAACTCACCAACACAGATCCCACTCAGTATGAGTCACTTATACTTTGAACATCATCACAACCTTTGGAAAGCAGCACATTAACAAAACCATCCCATCTATGCCTCTCYCAGTATTTTCAAGAAGTATAAAATGACCAAACAATACAGTTCCTATTACAAACACCTGAATTCTACTTTGAATTCAACATAMCCCCAGTGAGTGAGGTACYTTACAGCCTTAAAGAAGAAATCTGRTGATCGAAACCTACACTGGCAAGCTGAGTCTGAGAAGAGAAGAGCAAAGCATTTCCACTCTGAATTTGGGACAGAGAGAGGGTTTATGCAGCCTGTCCAAGACTAGGGCAGGAGAAGGTTACTAGAACAGGAATATAAGAAATTGGGGGGTGTTCTCTGCCTCCCACCCCGAAATCACAGAAGTTCATCCTCAAGAAAACCTCTTAATTTCCTTTTCAKAAGTGGGACTCCTGGAAAGGACAGAAGGGAAACAGAATTGGTTCTGAACTGACGATCCAAGTAAAACAACTCCCAGCACTCACATGTCAGTTAATACCCTATTTCAACAAAGAACAACAGACCATCTGTTGCACCTGAAGACCAGCCTTGGGGATGGCTCTATTCCAGTTCAAGTGCACTGAAGGACCCCTGTAAYTGCCCTTTACAAAGTGMAAGAATCATGAGCAGCACAGCACAGCTGCACTCCAAAGACACTTGTTAGGAGTCTCCAGGGTCTGGCTGATGAGCTATACCTGTATGMAGAGTGGTTCTCTTAGGCCTATCCCAGATTAGGGTAACACCTCTGCCTGAATCTGCTGAAGGATTTTGCGAAGAACCAACAGTTACATCTATCCGACTATAGATCAGACAAATCCAAAGTTACTTCAAAGGGATAGCGGCATTGGCTCTGATTCAGAGTACTGTACAATCCAGGGTTAATGCAAAGTCATTTAGAGAGGTTGGTTTTTCAAAGGATGAACCATTACCAGAACGTTTTCCTTGGGGCTATAAATATAATTCTTTTCCCATATAAAGTTCATTGGGAGGAAAATGCTGAGAGAGAGAAAAAAATTATCYAGGAACACACGGACATAAATCTTCTCAGGGAGCCAGTTTTATCATCTGCATCTACATTTCTACCCCTCATCGTGAGAGCTAAGCCAAGTTATTAAAACTTACAAAGTTGGTACCAACAAAGGCCAACTCTGGTTCATTAAAACAGTTTGTCCACAAATACTGTCAGTGAACTGTATACTCTAAACGGGTGTCAGCTGTTCAAAAGACATACTGTAGCACACACAATTCCTGTTTTATATTCTTCTTTCTCCTCTCAAACATGCTTTCTCCACCTATCCATTGGTTGGATTTGTAAATTTTGTCTCATTCAGATATTAAACAACCTACTGTTTTATAGTAGCTGCACAAACAGAATTCTTGATTTATCTCACCAGCACAGACTTCTCACTATTTGCAGCATTATATGAGAAAACTTAAAACTGAACACAAGATAAAAGCCCAAAGAACGGCAAAAGAAGGCCACTGAGAATGAAAAGTGCAAAACCCCAGTAACATATTTTATGATTTCTTTTCTGTCCATTTACARTATGCCAAACCCCTCATATATAAAGCAATGAGCGGGAGATGTGAAATACTGAAAAGTACCAGACATATCCCAGTGGTGGACTTGGCAGTTTTAGAAGACCAACCTATAAGATTCTATACTTATGTAATGGTATCTTAGCTAAGAGAAATCAATGGTGCTGGGAAAAGAGAAAAGGAAACAGTGGAATAGCTGCTCCAAGGTTAAGTCTTTTCTCACACATTTATCACAAATATATCTAACAATATTTAACTTACCAGCTCTGGTTTACATCCATTAATTACCAGGACATTTCTTCAGAAAATGACTAAGCACAGTTWCAACCTTTTTCTGCTTGACTGCAATTCTAACCCTTTACAGAACCTTACCACCATGTCCGAAATATCCCATCCTGACCAAAAATTAACATTCTGAAGATGCTTTGAAGTATATTTAAATTACATTCCAACAACATGGCACTGATTTAGCAAAAATCACTTGATACACAAACTATTATATAGTCAGCATTTTTCTTTTAATAATGTAAAGCAATGTATGTAGGGCACCAGAAAAAATTTTCATATTGAAGTGCTGTTGAATGAAGGCACTCTTGACAGCTAGATGAGTGAAAATTTCCCATTTCTGCACAGTCATTTTGGTTTAGGCTATAGACTAGACTCTGAGACAAAGGATGCCTTGGGGGGAAAAAAAACCAAAAAACTATTCCATGCAGAAGTTCATGATACTTATCAAGCAGCACCACTCAGCCTGTCTAGGGAGTCCTTTCAGATTCAAACTAGGATAAAGAGGTCTGAGAGGTCTCCAGTCTATTAGACACATAAAGGGGTGAATGACAGAAGTCAGCAAAATTCAATCGTGCCATTTTCACATAAGGACAGGTAAAACAAGGAGGGTGACTACAGGACAGCTTTTTTCACTACAGAAATTATACAGTCTACACTTGCTTGAATTCAAACTGCCATTCTGCCAAACAAAAGGCTGATCAAATTACTGTATTTGCAAAGTATGAAATTATTCTCCACTAATTATAGGCAATCACAGATTTTAAAACCTGAAACAATTTTAAATATTGCAAATAGCCAGTGAAATTCTTTGAATTTTTTTAATKAATAATGTGCATGTATAACTTTTAATTCAAATAGTTGTTTATGCACTTTACACAACAAATTAGTACTTGCAAGGTAATACTCTGCATKCTATACTATGTAACATTCCTACAAAAAAACCAACAAAAAACTACAAACCAAAGGATAAAATGTTAGTATCACACTTGATAACTATCTAATTTCAAGGGAATATTGATCCTAAGCCCCTACCACATATTGCTAGATTCTGTGGATTTTTGGAAAGATATCAGAGGGGTGGATTGACTACCAAGGAAAGATTAAATTTCCCCTATAACCAATTTATTAGCCATAGAAAGAAACAACTCAACCTACCTTGCAATTCACTTTTTATAAGGCAACTTTCCATCATGTACAACAGGACAGTGACCATAATATCCAGCAGTTGGCATTCTTCTGTTACTTGGCGTGCTAGTTCTTCATTGCTGAACAACTGAACACTGATATGTACAATTCTATTAGACATTGTGTCTGATTCATGGCTTTTCTTCAGTGTTTTCATAATAAAAGCATAATGCTGAACAAATGTTTTTGTAAAAGCAATCTGCAAATTATAAAGAAATGTTGACGTTAATAAGCAGCATCATACAAAAATTGTAACTGTCTTTCACTATAGATTGTGCTTTCAACAAGGAATAATCAACATATCCTGGGAAATACCAGTTACTATGACAAACCAAAATTGATGACTGTTTCTAGAAACAGCCAAAATGAAAAGACCTAGTTACAGGGAGGGATATCTTAGGCTGCTAATTTTATTACTTTTTCCCAGAATCTAATCTTCTCATTCTATATTTTCCACACTAAAAAAAAAGAACCCCAGGAATCTTCAGACAAGAAATATAAGGTCTCAGCATGCCTGTGAAAGCAGTAAAGTTCTAATAATTATTTTATCCTAAATTTATATGTGCTACAATGGGATGTCCTAAATGATACACTATAAACAATGAGTTTAGTAGTGCCTTAAAAAGCTGCCTTATCACTTGCAGCCATCTACCCGTGAGTAACGTTTTCATCTATTTTTCAAGCAAGACATTTCCACGCTGACTTTCATTTTTACTATCATAGCATTCTACACTTTTTAAAGAAACCTTTAGTGCTTTCCCCTCAATAACTAAATTAATTAGCCAGCTTTGTTGTTCTTCATACAACTGTTTGTTTTTTAAACTAGATCAGTATTTAAATGTACTGTACATATGTACATACATCTTAGTACAGTTCTCTGTTACACTTCACTAGCCTCAAAATGCATTGTAAATCAACCCTTTTGCACTGCATATACATGAACATATCTGCTAGCTTTGAAATCACTTCTCACCTAGCACTTTATGTTCTGAATTAACACCATCTGGTCTTCCTTGGCTTAGTAAGAAGACAAGCTGTGTAGTGATAAAAATTTTCAGATCAAAGTCTAAAAATCCCTTGCCGGTTMCTTGTGGAAGTATTAACCTTTCATAAGCACAGAATCAGAAATTTAAGAACTACCCTCATGCAGCTGAGTTTTCACCAGGCTATATACASATCACTACTTTATTTTACCTGCCTTAGACTCAGTGTTCCTCTATTTTTATTATGGCACTATCATGCTAATATCACTTGGAAAATAATTCCAAAAATATGATGACATAATAGTGCTGCTGGGCATAGAAACTGCTTCTCCCTGCAAATACCTCCAAAGATAAAGTTGCTGATGCAAAAAATGGACCAGGGTGAGAACGGGGATAACACTGAAAGAAACACTGCAAGAATACTTAACTTGCCTTCCTTTACCTGGTCCCCAGTGATGGAAACCTGTAGAATAACTGAAAGTGTGCTCCACATAGAGCACCCAGCACAATGGTAACTGTTTTCAGATAAARCCTTCCTGGCACAACATATTCACATTACTTGAGCAAAGCTGATACGATACCATTCTGGTATTACAGATACTCCCATCATATAATTTCCTTTCAATTAAAAGCATGACACAATTTTTATCATCAAGACATTCACACTATTAATGTTAAGCCTCAGACAGATATGATGTACCAGGTATTTTAAGAAGTTGTTAATATATTAATGCTGCTACTAAAAAAGTATGCTTTATTTATATATTACTTCTTCATACTGTATTATGTTTAAATAGGATTTTTGGGTTCTGTRATGTAGAAACTACATGTTATTTGTTTTACCCGGCACGGTCAATTGAAGTTGACTGTAAAAACAAGGTATTTCTGTAAGGACAAATTTTGGACTATTTCTTATTTAGCTTATATCGACATGCATCAAATTTTTTTGTGCCTCACTCGTATACAATACTGAACTACTGAAAGTACTGTAAATTTGCACTCAATACAGTATAATGGTAGAGACTCCATAAAACACTTAAAGAGAGAAGCTTTACTTCTACGTTCACTTGTAAGTTAAACAAACAAATACAACCCTTTCCAATTATGAGAGGAAGAAAATAAACTCATTCCAGAAGTTAAAAAGCTGAAATACTGTGGCAAACTGCAGTCAGTACATAAATCAGCTAGGATAGGCCAAATCAGTCCATCCATGTACGCTTTCTTTYGGTGGCCAAACCTATATACACAACTAAGGAAAAATACAGAATGGAACAAGAATGCAATTTTTGTCATAATATGTTTACAAATACTCAGCTTCCAACCTTTTGCAAGAAAATGGTTCCTAAAACAGATATGCTTTCTGTATATCTAATTATCTTTACTGACTTACTCTCTATGATCTTGAGCAGCTTCTGTATTTCTAGCCTATGGCAAATAAAAGTTAATTTTTTTCAACTGGSTCTTGGTGACCACTCAACAATCCCAAACCTTTTTGGAGACAACCCCATGTTTCAGTTAGAAATCACATCTCCCATGTTTATATTCTCAATGCTAAGATGGAAGGTATTTCTGCCTGCTGAATGCTGCCCTAAAATTAGGGTTCCAATAGAAAAACTGTTCTACAGAATTTGTAGAGCAGCATATCCAGGTGAAGTCCTATTGCTGTAATAGGCGCCTCAAGGGTCACTTTGGGAGRTGCCTGACAAAGCATAGCATTTCTGGTATTTTTGTTTGTTGCTTCGTTATGTCTACCAGATACTTTTGYGTTTTTGTATTTCCAATATTCCAGATTTCAGCAAGGCTCTGCTCTTGGATGATTTAACRCTCTTCCATCATCTTCCTGTTCACTGCCAACACATTCTTTGCCTTCTTGGTCACATGAAGGTCTGTTTCTAAGGCCTTTTGCTTTTCCTCTTGTCCACATCATAACATCTTTAATTTCTTGGAAGCTTCAACAAATTTCTCTTCTGCTTTCTTTTTCTTCACTTGTAAGTCTTCCAAGCTTCAAATGTCAGAGAGTGCTGGAAGGGATGCCTCAAGCACAAATCTGTAAGGCAAAGACCACACTTTTTGTTGTGCTATCTCTTGCACATGCCAAAGTGGGGAGAGAGGGAAGAGCTAGTTAACCCAAGATTTTAGCCCACCCCTTTCAACACCTCTTTTCAGTACTGGGAATCCTAAAACAGAAGTTTGTTTTTCTATTWAAAAAAAAAAATCTGTGCAACTGAGATTGATATTGGCTCAGTGACTGCTATACAGAGCAATGATGGATTCTAATATGTTTATGCYGGAGGTCAGAGATTTCAACAATTTCAAAGCACACACAGATAGCCAGCTCTGTGATCTGTGTCTGGCAAGCTCCCTCAGTTTATCAGAAATCCAACCTAGCAGAATTGTGCTGATTTAATGAGCTAAATTGCCTCATGAAGAATCYTATAAACTGCACAACAGCAGACACAGAAAAAATTAGTAGAGTACACGTAGGGTAGCTGGGATGACAGAAAGTAACAGAAAGCTGAGATCCCTTGAAACAGTTTATATSCCTAGAGGTATTCCTGTTGTTTGAGAATGCAATTTGATTAATCAGCATACAAGTTTTTCTTTCAAAAAAGCTAAATGGAAGCATATATGATAAAACATTCTTCTAATTMATCCCAAAATGCTATGTTCTCTCTTTTACATGTAAAAGGCAGAGGCTCTTCTTGCAAATTAACCACAGACCTCAGAAACATGTTTTAAAATTCATGCAGCATTAACACAGTTTTGCAACAAAGCACAGGTATCTCRCAAAAAAATACCTGTGTTACTGCCTCCCTAGTACTGCTGTGTGATACATTTCCTGCTCCGTTTCCTTACTACTTAAAAATGCCATTTAGACAACCACAGCAGTTAAACACAGATTCTAAAAAAATTTCAAATACTTGGTATTTGTGCTTCTAATAAAGCTTTAACATTGGAATCAACTGTTTTAATGAAGCACAATATGTAATTGCTAACAAAAAACACAAACCAACCAATGAAAAGTTTTAAAAAACCTTTCAATTTGAGCATGCAATATTAGCAGGCAGAAAATGGACTATTCCAGTTAAAGGTGGCAATCAGTAGCGAGACCAAATACACAGAGATCTCCATTCTGATGAATACAACTAAGAAAGTCACTGAAGACTGTAGCTCATTGCCAAAAAAGAAAGAGCCCACAATCATTAAAAGCTGTTGTTATTACATGGTACAGTAAAAAGGGAAGCAAAGCAACACTTACCAGATTCTTCTGCATGCTGATAGCAGCTGTCTCTTTTTACAGGCAGGGATTTAGCTGGCAATGGATCAAGTGAACTGGATGTCCWTGTGGGTGTCCAAATATCAAGAAGAAGTCAAGCTTCATGGCAATGGATCAGCAGTTAAGACCAAGACRAATCTATGCTGGTATCCCAAATCAAAATGGTGTCTTGACATGGACACAGTAGTGTTGAAGGCCCAAATCTTATCTTTTTCTTCCTTGCAAGTTATCTTCATGTCCTTTTTTTTTTGATACAGCAAGGTTTTAAGGGGGCACAAATACAGGGTCGTACCACTATAAACAGACATTTTGGAAGAAATCTGCATGCCTGAACTTCAGAATTTCTTGATCTTTGCCTCCCAGCAGGGATTGAGAAGTTTCAAAATATTTGCATGGCTCAAGGGTATTACATGATCAGAGCAAAATGTTAAGCCTGATTGCTATGTATACCAGGTCTTGGGACCATGTGGAGCAAACAACCAAACCTGGCTGCACACCAAGATTTAAAACAGGAAGATGACATCCAGTCTCCACAACTCCAGGCCAGGAGATACATGGTATGGACAACTGCAAAACTCTGTAAGGAAGCACCTGGAAGGCTGCCAAAATCACCTAGGGCATAGCTGCAGCAAGAACACTCACACTGTAAAGGCCTGTAAGGAGAAACTACTGCCTACYACAATCATTGAAACAGGAATGAAGTCAATGCAATTATTCAGTTGTCATACCACACTACAGAGTCATACAGTGCCAATTCATATGTCTTCAGTGATAAAAAACAATTTACAAAGTAAAATAAAATTAAACAAAATTCAACACATGCAAATATGCACTAACAGACAAAAAGGAAAACAAACCATGAAATCAAAATTAATAGTGCTGCTTCAGAATTACTGTTTTGTTCATATTGCTTTTCAAATACTAAACACTTTAGAACTTCTAACAAAATACKCAAAACAAGGTAAAACACCTGCATTATTTTACAGTGTATTTTTCAAACATAACCATATATGGTCTCATGCAAGGCATAATACACACTAAGAATATGAATAAGAAAAGATACTTAGGTTTGAATGAAGTAAGGCCAAGTACCTTATAATCTTGATCTGGTAGCATGTTGAGTAAGAAAGTCACCATCTTCTGTGGAAACTCGTATTTTATTGTCCAAAATAATAATTCTTCTAGAAAACATTTATGCTTCAAAACATCCATGATAGACTGATCTGCATAAAAGGTTGAAGCAGAGCATGTGTAACATAATAGCTATTAAAACTAAGAACAACGATAGTGCAGTTGCACTCATATAAAAATGCAGGAACAAAAATTTAAGAACATCTTAGTGCATTCTATAAATAACTTTTAAACAATGGAAAAATGAACATCACCAACACTGCAGTGTCAGAGTCTGCAACTATAAAAAGGACCTCCCAGATAAGCAGTGAAAGTTTTCAGTACAATTCTACCACAGAGTCCAATCTTCATTGATTGCACTGAACCATATTACCTCACTGAAATAGCTGCACTGATTATAATGCATCACAGCAAATTGCACGATATTTACACAACCACTTAATCAAGGGAAACAATGTAGACTATCACTTAACTGAAACTAAAATATCAAAACAATAAAATGCAATTTATGATTAAGTGATGAGTTCTACCACCTAAGAACACTTAACTAAGCTCTAAATAAAATAWATAGAAGCAATAATGTATCCATTAYTCTGATTTTTGAAGCAATATGTGCATGATTGACCARCCACTAAGTTGGYTGTTTGTTGGGGGTTTTTAATACAGAAAKTACCATAATCAGATAATCAGGCACTAGCTTTTGATGGCAGCAGGAGAGACAGTCTCGTMCTTCCCTTTTCAGCTTGTGTCCATTCACTCTGCCCCTTTACTCATGCCAACAGTAGATTCCTGTGGGGGACCTACATAGGAATCGAGTCCAGGACTGTTCCATTTTGTCAGCTATGTTTTCAAGCAGATCAGTTTCCTGATYGCAAAGGTGCAAACTGACCTTTGCTAGAATAAACTAGTCATGAAATTATCACCTCATGGAGCATAAACCTTATTAACTGTTTTTAAAAATAATAAAATAGAAAGACTCTTCATCTTCATAAAGTGGTTGATTATTTATGCTTTAAAACTATAACAGATGGTGTTAATTTCATTAACATATAAAGACTAAAGAAGAAAATAATAATACTACTATTTCTCTATATCTAAAAATCAACTGCACCTGAGGATATGCAACTACACAAAATCACATACTCCAACAGGAGTGTATGAAGTGCTCCCACCGGCACACATTTACACTTAACATCCTCTGGCTTTGAAGACTCACATCTTCACTCAAGTGTGACAGCTTTACACACTGCAGTGGATAGCTTTGTGCCTAATCTAAGCAAAATAAGTCTTTGTGCTCTTCCTAAGCAGGAATTACCTCCATTTTCCATCATTACCAAATGTCAGAGGTCCCAGGGCAAGTAACCAATTGGCCCAGATTTAAATTTGAGGGCTTTCCTCAAGATTCTAGCACGCCACAAAAAGGCAAAAATATGTTTTAATCAATGTATTATACAAGCATTGATGTAACATTACTTTCACAGAATAATGAAAGATGCTAAARTATTATAATATTTTGTAATACTAATATTACAATATTTTGTAAYGTATTGGACACCACCTACTCAACTAACATATGATGCTCATTTACATTCTTTTCCTCACCTCTTGTTATGAAATTGCATGTCTGATTTGACTGCCAATGAAAGCTTGGTAACCATGCAAAACTGAAGTCCTCTTTCCGCAGAACAGAGAGCACAAACGCAGGTACATGGCAAATGCTTCTGAGTGAGAACACCAGGCATGYAGACAAGTGACACAACACCGTATCTGTTGCTGATGTGCAGCTTTCTCTGACACACGTCACAGCTGAACAGTGCATATCCAACACTTTATGCAGCAGTTTCAGGCAGGGACAGAACAATACATATCCACTAACCCCTGCTATATAMTTTAAGAATGTAGAATGCCCTTACCGAACTTGGAAAATTAGTCAAGAACACTGGGACTAATGTTCCCACTGCTCAAAAGCATAATCTGGCCTTGATGCTAGATTTTAAACAGTGCCTATGKGTTTATRATTGTCTTAARCATCTGGTATTTCAGATGGATGCAGGATGAGGTTTTAAAACAGTAAAAAAAAAACTCAGTACTCAGTCCCACACCTGTGTCAGTGAACCTCATCATAAAAACTGTACTTTCTTTAAAGAAACATTTTATTCTTTCTTAGTGCYACAAAACACCTCATGGAGTGTTGTAAATATCTCTCTGCAATATGAGACTTAGCATTCCAAGATATCCCCAGTATATAAATAACCCCGCATGAAGACAGTGCCACTGAGGAGCTAGGATGGGAAAGGGAGTCTGCTTACATGGAGAAAAGGTAAATCTGTTTTTATTCAATACTCAGTTTTCTAAAATTTTCTTTTCATACTCTTATTTTATACCCTTTTGGACATAAAATATGAATACTGAAAACTTCAGAAAACTATCTGATATTTAATAAAAACAGATACTTACCCTTCCCCCAYTGGCAGACTCCCTCCTCTGGGGCAGATATTAGGAGCTACCAACATCATGAGCACAGTCCATGTTGGGATGCCTCAGAGGGGGAAGACTACAATCCTGGGGGAAAATGAAATGTTGAATTCAAGTATCACTTTTCCTGAAATGCCACTGCTGATACTGGTTTTCTGATCAGACAGCTTCTAAATCTGGGTTTCCTCTCTCCCTCTTTCCCTAATTAGTTAYTATGCAACACAACAACAGCAATTTTTTCTTGGGTTACCTGACTAACTCATCTTTCAGACAAGCTAACAGCCTCTTAAATCCATGWAAAAGAACTTTGCTTGGATGTCTTTACATTTCTCCAAAATTACTGCCTCTTCCACATTATTATTCCCTGGCACAATCTTTAAGATCACACAATTTTTAAGATCATCTTTAAATAACTCTGTTGCCAAAACATTTAGTTCTCTGCTTTTTCAGCTTCTTCTTTTTCCTTCAATCTGAAAACACTAGAAACAATCACACGTTGCCACACTCCTCACAACATCATAYTATTTTATTAATTCATGAACCTCTGTATTTAAAACTCAAGCTCCAAACCTTCACTTCAGAGACCTYCCAGAAACTTTATTCCAACTTTCACCACAATTCTACAACCCAAATATTATTTTCTCAAGTCTTGCTATTTCAGTCTCCACATACTCATACTAAAAAACCACAACCAAAAAGGTATCATTTAAGTATTATTAAACASTTTTTAGTGCAAAAACAGATCAAGCACAAGATAGAACTACCTTCACTCCAGCCTATGGTTATTCTTCAATTAAAACTTGCAYTGACCTCAATGTCAGTGCTGCTCATGTTGGACTAGAAATTGCCCAAGTGACTGACATGAAGTTGGAAAAACAATGGAGTGGTTTCAAGGGAGACCTCATTCAAGCATTTTATATTAAACATTACCAAAACAGTACAGAAAGACCAACCAGAACCAGAGAGAACCATTCATGGCTGAAAACATAATCATAATGTCTGGTGGCACAATCAAAAAAATTTGTTAAGAAAGAATTCATCAAAACACTTGTTTAGTAAAGCGACACTGCAGCCTTGCTAGCMACACAAAGAAAACTGAATGAATTTTTGGAGGTTAGCTTACAACACAGAGGTGACAAAATGGTCAGAGTCCCAGACAGTGGCACTTACTCAAGGGAAATCTACGTTGCCAATCACCACAATTTCACTAGCTATTCTATTTTAGACTTYGCTGTGTTTAATACCTGTCACATACAGCACTACAGTGCTCAGGAAGGGAACTGGGTATCCCTGGATATTTTTAAGACAGACAAAAAGCAAACATGATAAACTGAGATCAGTACTTCATTATAAATACCTTTGGTGGTGCTGCTTAGTTTCACCCTCTTGCGCTTTCCCACACCTTGGCCACCATCCTGGTCCTCCTGGGGTAGGGGAAGAGTTTTAAAAATTGATAATCGTATACTTAGAATCTTATTGCCAAGAGATGGTATGCTCTCAAAATTCTGGTTTAACTACCAAACTAAAACAGAGAAGCCTTCAATATATTCTTACAAGAAAAACACTTCTACTGCTTATAGAAATGACGTACTGTATGCAACTCTTTAGAGAAAAACATCATTTTTTAAAYTGCCTCTTTTCCCCCCTACAGGCAACATTATCATCCGCATTTATTCCATTAGTTAAGATTACTTGCTCTGATTTCTAAAATTGCTTTCTACAAAATAGTTTAACACTACAAAATTTCTAACATTTGCACATTAAGGTTTTACCTTATCCACTTGCAGGGTTTGTAGGGTTTTGTTTCAGAGAAAATATGAGCCAACATATTGTATATCCAAGTTTGCAACATGGACAATTAGCTATGTATTTTCTAATCCATATAAAYTTCTGATGCAAGAACAAAGTATTTTTGACACCTATAAGAGGTCAATTCTAACTGCTTGCACCCTACAAAATAATGGAACCATTTTACACAGGCACTTGCYATCTGAAGCTTTCAAGGCACTCCACAAACTAAACAGCAAAAGTTCCAAAATGTAATACAAGTTAAAAACAGCACCACTACACTTCACAAAATCTAACACTGCATGTTAAAAAAGAATGTGACATGACAGGATTATATTAAATGTTGCGTGGATCTTACTAACACAGGTAATCCTAATGAAACTAGAAATAAAGATTCTTAATGAAGCTAGTAAAATGAGACATAATTAAAGCACATATCTACTGTTAAAAGTAAGTAATCAATATCCTTCTCCCCTAAACAAATGCCATGTTTTACTTGCAAACTTCAYTGGAGTAATACAGAACTTGAATCTCAAGAAGTTACTATCCCTTCACGAGGAAGAAGGTTGTTCATACTTCATATCTAAGGATATCTAAGGACCAAAAGTATGGTGTAAATGYAAGGTCTGATTTTTCCTATGCTTTCACTACCTCCCTCTGAAAATTCACTTTAAGATAGACACATTTGAACTCTTAGGTGTCCTATGGTCTTTGTGAACAGAGAGTTCTTTGGTACTTCAATCAGGCATGAGTCACTAASTTTTCAGGATGTTGCTACTGCCCAGTCCTCAGAGGGGCCAAGTATTCTCAAGAAAAAATCAGACTTGCTGGGATATTACTATGAACTGCAGGACTCTGCAACTTAAGTCTCAGCATCAGTGAAGAAAGTTATTTTTTTATTTTATAATCTTCTTAATCACAGYCTGCTTGACAAATACCAATTACTGAAAAGGAAGTCCACTCCTTTCATCCAAAAGTAAAAACAGACTGTGCAGGTGGCAAGCTGAAATGCATATTAGAAAAWTAATGTTCCTCTCCTCTGTACTTCCATGTGAGTTACAAGGGACATGTACAGTTAGTTTTTAATACCTTATTATACTGTCATAGGGCAGAATAAAACTATGCTACATTTAAGAAATGTGGCAAGAGTACACTTTTAACTGGATTTTCTTCCTGTGGTATTTAAAATGAATCTAGAAAGGTTAATAATGCTCTTTCATACCGAGATCTAATGGTAGCATTGTTTCATAGACGGAGCACTAGATTACAAAATTTACATGGACTACAGATCAGAGCAGTACTTCTGCAGGGAGCTAAACAGCTTGAAAAGTTTTGTATAGTTCAGTATTTAGTTTTACTTCTACAACAGTAGATTGTTCTAAGCAAAAAATAAATCTGAAGGATGGCTGTTATTTCTCTCATGTTGTCCTCTAAGCAACAGGAGAGGAAAGGCTCTAAACCTRTCCTATTTAATAAGATTTCATGTCTCAAGCAATCAAATAAAACACARTCCATGTGTTTTATGACACACTGAGGAATAAATGTTTTTATATTGGGTCTCTTTACATTATTTGAAGTTTGTTATGTTACTCTACCAAAATGTCTGCTAAGGCTTGCTAGTTGAATTCAGGTTTTAAATAGTTGAGRAAAAAAATATGAGAATAAATTGATAAAGTTACTCTACCAGAATTTAAMTTTCCTCATTACATTCCACTTAKTCATTAAGGCTMAACCTAAATTGAAATTCTTTTCYTTTTACTCCCACTCAWYRTRTTWGGTAAGTAAGGTCAAGTCTACACATGGGAATTTATCTACAGAGAAATTCTCATTGTTGCTATCACCAGTTCAGCTGGATTCCCAAGTACCAAAAACTGTTAACCCCACTCACAGCATTACATGCTCCAAGTTTGCTTTAATGAAGCCAAATTTGCCTGACAGTGATTTTTGGAATACCTACACAGGTTTCTTCTACATTACATATACAAATTAAACTGAAACAGTATTAGCAAAAATCAGGATTTCTCAAGAGGTCCTTAGTAAATCAAAGGCAAGAGATCTATTCCTTTACACTCTSTTATTCCTCATTACCAAAATGGGGATAATGTAGGACAGACAGAAGACTTAAGATGAGGGGGATCTGTCTGCAAGCATTCTCTCCCTTCAGTATTCTGTTGCAGTTCATGACAGTCTTTAAAAAAGTCTCACCTCATCTGAAGAATCTCCTTGTCCTGATGTTGCCGTAGCCCCTGCTAAACCTTTTGAAATAAAAAAGTTCAGAGATTCCTTTCGTAAGTCTTATACTGAAAATGYTGTATTTTAAGATATTTAACGAGCCAGTATGAAATGGAACACTACATTCACTTTCTTTAAAAGATACWTAGCAGTGGACTGAGAAGTTCGAGTAACATTTCCAAGCAACACAAAATCAGGGATTTGCAAGTACGTTCCATAACAGAACTTCAATGCAAGGTGCTAACCAAGAAGCGTTCTTTCAGAAACTAAAAAAAAGCCTCTGATGGACTTAAACAACTAAAAAAAAAAAGAAAAATTCACAGAACCTTTATACAAATAGGTGCTGTGGATTGATAATCACTTCATTGCAGTGACAAAATTCCACTACGAGCAATTTCATCTTGCCTACTCAAATTCCACTAATGTTATGGCTGAAAAGATAGTGCTTAGCATATTAGCAACAAGAAGTTAACATATTTAGCTTAGTTGATTGAAGCGAGAGTCCTGTAATTTGGTAATGCAATAAATAACAACTAATTCCCTAAGTTTCATTAAGATTARCATTTTTTAAAAATAAAGCTAAAGAACATTTTATATAAAACCCATCAAGTCTTCTCTTAAAGTATTTTTCTACACAAACCTTGAACAGACAATGTGCTTGTTCCCGCTCCTTGYTCCTGCATACCACACGCAATTTTATCTTCAGGAAATGCCAGTCCAGAGCCTTTCAAAGCAATTAGGTACTTTTCRTGACTTTTCTTTGCACATGCATTCTCTCCAACACCTTGAATACATACATAAGAAAGCATTAAAGCACAAAAGCAGATCCTTGATTCATATACTTCCCACTCCATGCAAGCAATCTAAAAACRACCCACAATGTTTTGATTCAGTAACACACATTCTCCATTCCAAGAGTTCAGATAAGCATGTCTTACCTTCCATTCYCTTTCCATATTTCTATATCAGGAAATCCATCATAATAGGAAAAGAGAACTAATTAAATTACTCCCATTCAAATATTGTAACAAGAGAGAAAAAGGAAGGAAAGAATAAAGAGAACTGCTCCTGAGGCAGCTTTACTATTTCTCCTTTCAAATAAAGATTTGGAGATTGCCTGTTCAACTAGCTGCTGCCCAAGCCAGACATGGCAACTTAAGACTAATTAATATTTGTTCCAYAGCTATGCACAGAACTCTTAATCACAAGAAAATAAAATGGAGTTAATTTATACTAGGGGGTTGGGGTTACTTGTGACTGGCCAACATTTCCAGAGTCGTGATTTGGTACAGGATGCAACAGATAATGAAGCAGGAGGTAATGTTTAAGAATAAAAGATCAAAAAGGCTTTGCACAGATATGCAGGACAGACAACAGCCTTTTTCCCATTCAGGTCTCCTCCAACAACCTCTGTGAGAGCCGATCCCAAAATAATTCAGACATATTCTACTCTAAATAACCTTGACCTGCCTAATTTGGAAGTACTAAGCTACCATAATCACATCACTTTGAAGAGAATGCATTTCTTATAAAAATTTCCTGAAAGGATGTTTCTTTATATATTTATTTGGGGCACATATCACATGTTTACTCTTACAGGTCTTAAAAACAAATCCTTCTAGTCACTCCTGAAGCTCACCCTCCTACCAACAAAATATCCTTTAAAATATGCTTTTTTTTCTGTGTTCTGAGACAACAAATAAAAACATGCAGAAACTGAAGTTATAAGCAAAATTCATTCCATTAATTCTTCACAGTTTGAAGATTTAATTATTAGAAATGACACAAACATACCAGAGCTAAGATCTTTGTAGAACTGTTGGCTAGTTAAAACCTGGGTAAGAACTGATCTCATTGCACCTCCCATTTTGGTCAAGTCTTCTAGAAAGGAAACGTGAGGCTCCAAAACCTGGAGGATTTTATGAAGGTCTTTCTCTGACGGCAGATCAAGMGCTGAAAACCACATAAGAAGAACTTTTGGTCTAAATGTAATGTAATTTGGCCAAGGCTGTCACAAGCAGAACAGTTATTACCACCACAAATGAAAATAATTTATAYATTCATAATGTTCTAAAATTCACACATACAAATTTCAAACTATACCTAACTTCATTTTCTGGAAGAGCTCAGCACAATGTTAGGTAACCCTAAAAACAYATTTAAGCTCCCCAGCATGTAAAAAATCACTTAGCCAGGCTGTAATTTTGTTAGCAAGAAGGGTACAAAATACAATGATATAAACTACACATAGCATTCATGTACWGTATCTTCACAGACTGCAAAGCAAGAGATAACAGCATGATAAGATATGCTAGATACACACAAATTTGAAACATACCAGGCTCATTGTATCCCTCTCTTAAGTGCTGAATCAGACTAAAGATGAACTGTGGAAGAACTAATTCTGACATCATCAACAAGTCTTTCGGGACACATGGAACATTGGAATTTGATTTAATCCGATGTCTTTTACAAAACCTATAAAACAGATGAGAAAAATGTTAGCCAAGTWCAGATCAACAGTGTTAACATATACTAAGAAAAACATTACTTTTTCTACTTTTCAGAAAGTATATGCTTTTACACTGAAGGGGTATAGAAATGGTATTGTGAAATTCCAACTTATGTTCAAGCCCATTCTGATTCTGAGGCCAGAAAACTAKAAAGGTGCCAATTCTTTTTCTGCTGCTCAAAGTCCACATATCTAAMATCCCACTTCTTCCCATACATATCAGAAGTATCTTCCATTGAACAAATAGAAGATCAGTGACTACCCTTTCTGTGACATAATCATGGCTGGACTGATTTTTCAAGTTCTCACTGAGATAATGACTTTAAAAAATGTCTTTTGACAATAAAAACAACTTTAAAAGGAGTAAAATTTAGCAGGATCAGAGTGTATTTCAAATGTACAGCAACTAAGACTTACAAAATCTGCACAAAATTGTTTCATTTAAAAAGAAAAGCAAACATTTACTCTTTGGAAAATTCCTGCATGGTAGTAGCTGAGGCTTGGCTAATGCAGAGTGACATGATGTTGAGCCAAACCCCATTAGAGCAGACAGAATGATTTCCCACTCACTTAACATGAGCCTGACTCAAGAKACACTGAATACTTTTCAGCTCCCAAGCTATTTTTAGAAAGGACATTTACCAACATCAAAGAGTTATTTACCCACGTCAAAAATGACACTAAACAAARAAGAGCCTAAAAATACATCACACAAGAATAAACTTTACTGGAAAGATTCACCAGATTTTACCAATAATTTTGCAACACAAAAATTCATAAAAAAATACTGCTTGAATAGCAAAACTGTTTTCCAAATTTATGCCATAGTTTCCAGAAGCAGCCTGTTACTTTCTAAAACTTAAGCCTTTCTTCTTTGAGGACCATTAAGAATCGCCCTCAAGAGAAGAAGGAAACAGAAGAAAGCCACAAAGCAAGTATATGAATCAAGAAAAAAAAGGCAAAAACAAAAAAAGAGAATACAATTAAAATGGCAACTCACAAAAATGGCTAGCAAATTCACAGAATTAAAGAGGTTCTCCTTTGCTTTTACACATTACAAACTACACTTTTTATTAAGAAAAGGTATAGAATGACAGCACTAGTCAGTCAATTTGCAGTTTGTATATACAACCAATATATCCCTGGGAGGAAAAGGGCCTGACAGAAAGAGCTCAGTGATGACTGACAACTTTCTRTTAATTTATGTCCAAATAAATATTGTTCACTTTTGCCTTCCACTTTTGATATTACATTCACAGAAGTTATGAAAARTCATTCCATGTTCCTTGTTTATGTATGGATAAACAGCACAATTTGCAACCACRGGGAAATCAAAGGGGCTTGTAAAAGTCATTCAAATTTTCCTCTCTGGTCATCCACTTTTATCTTTTCCACATACAGAAATCTGAGCTTCTGTAAATCACAAATGTGGCTTCATATATGCTGAAATATGGTATTTCATATTTTAAAAGAAATTGGTTTCCTTTTCACCATTCTCCTTAATAAAATGAGATCAAAGGTAAATAAAAACCTAAAAGACACAGAAGGAAGGAATTATTATGCAATGTATTCTAAAATCTTTTACAGCATTCCCCCTATATATTTTGCATGCTGTCAAAAGATATTTTCACTGATTATGATCACAAGCCAAGGAAGCACTGTAACAAAGAACACAGATAATTTGGAATCCCAGGGTCTGCTGAGCACAAGACTTCCTTCCACAGAGAATAAGCTCTGCTGCCCAGGAAGGCCTTGTCAACATGCCAGTTCTGAACCCATTGTGACAGAATCATAAAATGAGTTAGAAGGGACCCAAAWGGATCATCAAGTCCATCTCTTAAGTGAATGGCACATATGGGAACCAAACCCATGATGTTGGCATTACTAACATCATGCTCTAACCAACTGTGCTAATCTCAGGGTCGTGGATTAATGATCCCAAATTTTACATACCCTGAAAATGAAAGTTATGAGTATGTGTTCTCCTGAGATTCTCAAAAAAGCACTACTGAATTATAAACAGTGCTATTATTGCTATATTAATACAGATCCTGGAAGACCAATAAAGAACCCAAATTCGATTCCTTGTAAGAAAAAGTTCTTTCCTTGTCACATGGACAAACCAGAGCAGGTTCAAACAGCAAACAATTTCTATATACCAGGCCCTGAACATTAAAGTAGGAATACCAATGTAATATTACAATAGGCACCATACTCTGTATTTACGGTTCAAAGGCTACAGTATTAAAGTAATGTCTCAAATTAGCTACTGTCTTTACAGAGTGTTATACAATTTTTATATAAATGTTAACAAAAATGACAAACAATGACTTGGAAGGTCTTCAGAGTTAAGACAACAGCCGTTTTAACTAAAGAAGACTGAAACCCAAGCTGTGTGAAGGAAGAAAAAAGCTGAGACTTCTAATGCAGGTTAAAAGAGATACCTGGACAAACTCCTCAATGGGCTACACCGTCACTGGACACAGCAGCCAAAGCTATTCCATAATCAGTTCCTTCTTTACTACTGAAAGAACTTCCTTACCACAGCATCAGCTAAAGAACAGTACATCTACATAAACATACATTTCAAAATGCTTCTGAGACTATCAAAATAGACTTTAATAGGCAACAAAAAGGAACATTTCCTAGATCACTCCTGGTACAATAAAGCCTCAGAAATCCACCGCTTGCAGCAGCTGGGAATTTCTAATGGGGAGCAATAAAATGTGGATATAATCTACGTAATAAATGCATTTTTTCTGAAGAAGGTCAAAAATACTGACAGAGTAGACTGACAAGGTAACTGACAGATCACCTTGATCTATGCTTTTTAACTTGATTTCAATATTGCAAAATACTTCTTCCAACAAGCCCACAGTTCTTATTCAATCTTTTAGCATGACTGATACCATGTAATGGTTCATAAAGTATTCAAATGAAGTTTTATAAATAAGAATTCAACATAAACTTTTTTAAAAAGCATGTATTCTGTCTCCACTGTAAAACTAATAACTAAATACTATTCCTACATACTCTGAATCTACAAAATAGATGCAAGATACAAGATACTTTTTGAGTSCTACAATTGTTTCTGAGTTCTTACAAAACCACTTTGTCATTTTTAATGTACTGGTACTGGTTAAATGGCTTTTCTGCTTTTGSAGTTCAAATATCAAACCAAATGTTAATTCAGAACAAAATAAAATTTGCACAATCAAGATTGAAGATTAGCTTGAYGAAAAAGGGCTTTGATATATTGTAGCTTTGCTTTATGTAAATCCACTGCCGCCAACAATGGTAACTGAGGAAATGCAGAGAAATAAACCTACTGTCCCTATTAAAATTAAGTTCAGCACGTTTGCTCCCTACACCCTAATAAGTACATTTCATTAGTTAAATTCCTTTCACCTGCAAAATGGGCTTCCAAAAGTGAACCAATGTGGTACAGACTTCAAGGAATGAGAGCTCTTCTGCTCTTTATGAAAATTGCAGGCTACAGAATTCATAGACAAAATTGAATACTTGCRTTTCTGCTATTAGGGGCAAAGCCAACTGAAAAGAAGTCAAACTCTTCTAACCAGAAAATCTCCAAAGTAGAGACAATAGCATCAATAGTGGAGGACACTGAAACACAGCAGAATAATCAATGGCTTCTCAAGAAAAACTGAAAAAAACGTATTTAAAGGACATCTTTTCAGGCTTTAAGCTTTCATAACAAGGTTATTTGGCCAGGTTAGGAGGCTAAAAATCACAGAGTGGACACTAAGAAGTTACTCCAATCCTTACAGAACAGCCAGGAGAGGAAATGACTCACTAGAAGCTCTCTTGGTGCTCAACTGGTGCTCCAATTAGTGAAGAAGCACACCAGTTCAAAGAAAAAGCAGACAAAGCTGCTCTGCAGAGCATTTCTATTACTCTCTGTCAGTCCTCAGACAAACTTTATATAGTAGACAAAACTACTACAAGTTCCATTAGTATACAGTACTCATTATCAATCAGAAACAGTAGATTTGGCAGTTTAAATCGTAAGGTCTTTTTTAAGGAAAAATTGAGTAAGRATGAGAAGGAATGGACTTCTGAGAGCTGTACTGAGCTATGTTTGAATGGAACCACAAAGTTGTTGAATTTGAGCACTTTGACAACCAAGAGAGTAACTCCAGAGAATAATACAATCTGCTGCTGCAAAAAAGTTCTTTAGAGAAAGGGTGGAAGCTCTGGAACAGAATTACTGTACTATAATTGCATCTAAGTACAACTTACTTTTACCTAGGTTGATTGAAAATCCTCAATCTACATGCAATTTGAAATCTATTTGTACAATAACAGATAGATAATAGATASCTTACAAATAGTCTCACTGGTGCAGCTTTTTCAAACATCACAATTATTGTAAAGTGAAGCCCTTACAAATTAAAAGGGCTTCAGTTATGCATATTAATATTAATGCCAATATTAAGATTCTTTAAATTATCTTAATTCATCCATTTKCATGTATGAATACAGTCTTCAACAGGAACTGCAGCCTTTTCAGTTGAGGAAAAAAAAAAACTTCCTAAAGGACCAGTTAAATWTAGCATTTCACCGTATTGAAGAAGTCATTGACAAGAACACTCTTCATACTCAATTCTAAAAAGCAATCTTAATTAAGGTTGACATTAAAAAAGTACATAAGAAGACTATTTACATTCAAAATCTTTCACAACAAGGTATAATCTTTTTTTTYCCCTCCAACTATGGAACTAAAGATAGAGGAATTAAAATATAATGTATATGCTAATTCTGGATGCTTAATAATAGCATCTGATCTTAGGATCTGATTTTGCAGAGTTCTTAGTCTTAAAGAGCATTCACAAAGCAGAATTACCAGCTGAATTCACAAGTAGACCTGAAAGACAAGSAGATCAGCAAATAAAATATCTGGTCCTGAGTCCCCACCAGAGACCTGTCTGCCTGGCCCTCAATCTTC